GGACAAGTCAATGGTTGTATGACATGCATAAATTAACGTAACTGTAACAGTCTCACATAATTCACTTCATTAACGGGCAACAACCCCTCAACCCTTTCTGGGCAGTTGGCAGAGAGTATCAGCAGCGGCATATGCAAATAATGCCGCATCATTAGAGCATTCACAATCCAAATCCCAATCTAAATCCGAACCAGTGCAAGTGCAGCCAGCCCATCGAAAGGGTTGCGGTTGACAGTGCGAAGCACGTGTCGAGCAGCGTCAGAAAATTATTTTTATTTTTTTTTTATTTTTTTAACTGAACTCGAACCTGTGACCTCGCCACGTATTTGCATATGTTGTTGTTCACAGCGATTAGTGGGCCATGGATATGGAAAATTTGTTTTTGGCCATTTGTCTGCTTGCGGTTTGGCCGGTTCCTAGAAACAACAAAAAAGGGTTGACAGCCAACTGAGTGCCAAAAATAACTTTGAAACTCGACTGTGGGCTGAGCTCTTGTCCCATTCTTGTCAAATTTTATATTTGCAGGCAGTTTAAAAAACAGGAGGGATTTAGTAACAAACTATTTAACTAACTATGCGCTTTGACCAAGGGCGTGCTTTATTTCGGATTAGTTAGAAAATTAAACAACATATTAAAGGGTTCACAATTCTGACTTAGATAGAAATGAATGAGTGTAGTACCTAGCTGAAGATAAAACTGGACAGATCCATGGAATTGATAGTTATATTGAGAGTAGTCAATTCTATACTCATATTGTTTAACTATCAATCTAACTATAAACAGAGTCTAAATCCTCGGTTTTAGTGTATGATTTATAAATATAGAAATTATTAATAAATATAAATATATAAAGAAGCAGAGTCTAAATCCTCGTTTTTAGTGTATGATTTATAAATATAGCAATTATTAATAAATATAAATATATATAAAGAAACAGAGTTATATCAACTCACTCAGCAACTAGGGCAGAAATAGTAATTGATCAGATAGCAAAGAGAAAGGTCAGGCTACTCCGCAGCTTAGCGAATAAATTTAATTACAATATCAGGAAGCTTTCCAACTAAGCAAATTAAAATATCAGGACACTCTAGGGCTTTGCTGGAAGATGAATTAGTCATGGTTGGCATCGATCTACCAGCGTCCACGTCATTTACTCCAACTACTTTTTAGTCTCGAATTAAACTTAAATAAAAGTAGAGCAAATCCTTTACTGATATAAATTTAAGTTTAATGTATGAACCAATCTTGAGTTATATGTATATCTATATCATGACTTGAATATTGAACATATGTATGTTTAGCATTTGCAGATGACTTTATGATCTCTGTCCAAGATCTGTCTCAAGAAGCATATAGAGAGAACGTGATGCGACTGAAGAGTGCACTAATTTGCAAACTTATAATTCACTCCAACACAAATGATGATCTTGATCTTATTGATAAATTTCTCAAATGTCTTAACAATATCTAACTTTAAACATTGCCTGTGATAATGTGACATTTATAGTTAAAAGTATTTTGATATTATAAATATATCATCAATTTACAAACATCCAACAGATTTTACTGTGGTCACATTCTGTTGCGTTATCCGAAGCCTCAACATATAATTTCCTTTAAGTATATGTACCTTTAAGTATCAGTGAGTAAAGTGATCTAATCTAACTGAAAAGATTAATCAATTTCAGCTGTCGTCTTGGAACTTTCAAGTTCAATTTGTTCAATTGAATAGAACAAGAACCTAGATAGGAGCTCGGAGGATGATGATATTTGTATGGGTTTATAACATTCTTCTTTCTCAATATATTTATAGATATGTTAACTATATTATGTCCATCAGTTATGCTTTCCTTTATTGACTTTTTTACCCTTTAAAAACCTCTTTAATCTATCTCTTCTTCAAAAATCTTTAATATGCCGACTCATTTGTTTTTTTTTTCATTTTAAACATCTTTCTATTGGAATCTTTTCTATTAACTTTGTTTCAGCCTTTAATTTTGCTGGCTTATCATATGCTTGACGCCTCTAGAAATCGGCTTTCGATTCTCTTTTGCCTTTTTCCCACACACCGAGAGTCGGCAAATTAAGCCACAACAAATTTGACCTTGTTAAGTTTTGCTCAAACAGTCCGCAAACACCAGCAAAAAGCGAAAAAGAAGACAACAAAATAAAAGCAGAGAAATAACATCAAGCAGGGCGTCTGGCAGATTCCCAGCATTGTCTTACGACCTGCTCACATGAGCGAGCGTCGACAAGGCAGTGGCCTACCTCAGTTTGTAGCTTGTAGTTTGTGGCTGATCAATGGGCAGTGCCGGCGTCGGGATGCTGCAGACCGGGCCTCCACGTTTAATCCACTCATAAGTCACGCCGTCGTTTGAGTCTGTGTGAAGCGAGGGAGTTGCTCGATAAGTGCCCAACCTGCTGACTGCGTTGCATGTGCTTCTTGGACTTTTGTCTGGCTCCACTGTAGCACAGTGATGAAAGACTTACAGAGACTTTATGTATATGCAAAATATATTCAAATTGTCACTTTATATTTCTAGACGATATCGCATAAATAGCTGTGTTGCTCGGGATACAGCTAAGCCACATTTGAGGAAATTTAAGGCATATTTATATAATAGAGACTACGCACAAGCAATGTATATTAAAATGAATGATTTATTTATTTTTTTTTAAGTATATTTCTTTTTATCATTTATCTTCAAAGAAAACAAAAAACAGTTTTCTGTTCTAAAATACACATAATATTCCCCTTATAATAATTTGAATATGTTACAGATGCCACTAAATCCATATATAATAAACAATTTGTATAAATTGCAAAAAGAAAAGTAAAGTTAGGCATGAAAGCGATATGGTATCAGTACATAAGAAAAGATGCTTTGCATGAAGGTAAACACCATTATTATGCATAATATAGCAATCAATAAATCACGCCTAATTGTATGTATAGTGGTGTGTGCATAAAGTGTTAACATTTTCATAACATTCAATTAACTGCATCGACTGCCGAGTGCAAGAGTTCTTGGCAGAGAGTCCGCCAGGGCGATTGGGGCTTGCGCGCGTCACGACACCATCTATGGGCAACAAAAGCAACTACCACAGCAATAACAACAACAAGAACGGTTACAACCGCAACCTACAATAAAGTGCAAGAGCGCAACGCAAAGATAAAAGGCAATAACAAAGGCGCAGAATGAACAGCAGCAAAAGCAAATGCAAAAACAAAAACAACGCCATGATAAAGGAATCACTGAGATCGCCTTCAACTTCTGCCAACGATGCGTTTGTATGTATGCATATGGAGAAGACGGCGATGATGCGACGATGTGATTGAAACAAAACATCTTATTATTACCTACGACCGAGGACCAGCAAAAAGAACGACCCCGTGCGACCTCGATGTGGACCTGGACATGTACCAAAGACAGCCAGGTACTGACCAGCAAAAAAAAATAAGAAGAGCGTGCAAAAGCAACAAATTCCCACGCTCAGAGGCTGCCCTTTGTCGACGTCTTCGTTGTTGTCGTTGTCGGTCGCCCCCTCCGCATCCCGCCCCATATAAGGCGCAAGCTGGGAAACGTCCTTACCGCCCCATTCGAAGATTGTGCGAAAGCTGACCCGAGCAGTGCCAAAAATGTCTGCGGCTTTCTTCCCCCCCTCTTTCTCTCTCTCTCACTCGCTTGCTCAGTCAAACAAATGTTTGACTTCTTGTTGTAGGCAGTTTTGTGATTGATTTCACTTTGGTTTCTTGGTATGCCTTTTGACTTTCACAGCTCATTGGGCTCGCAATGTCGCTCACACGATAATGCAGACTACATGCATACATAAGCATACATATATGTGTGCATGTAAGGCGAGGCATCCTCCGCAGATTCACTCAGACACAAGCTCTGGCATACGGACAGGTTAAAAATCGACAGGTATCAAGTGGTGAACGCTTATAATTATAGTATTTAGTGGTGCGTAAAATGTGATACTTATTTTTTTTTGTCAAAATCTTTGAGGTTTTTAAATTGACTAGGGGTAGTCATGCGAAGAAACGACAATTATATGCTCATTAGTTTTGCTCAAGTTGCAAAATATTACCATGGTTTAAAAAGTTATTCACTTCAATTTATTTAACAATGTATGATAAAATTGAAGAAAATGTAAAACATTTTTAAAGATTGGTCTGCTTATTATAAATCGATAAATAATCTATATATTTTTAATTTTATATTTTATATTTATATATTCTTCAAATGGAAATTAAAATATTTTTTATTTTATAAAATTAAAAACAAAAAAAAACATGTTAATTTTCAAATATGTTAATTAATTAAGTTAATATTCTAGTTGTTTATTCAATAATTTGTTTAAATATTTACTAGTTTACTTTTTTATACCTTATATGCTATTTTCTTATTAATTTCTTAGTTAAAATTCCTCAACGAATCACCCTAAGCGTATCCTGTCTTTCGATTGCTCAATATTATATAAATTTTTATTAATGTACCGTAAAATCAAAGAGCATCATACTTATGTATATTCACCGAAAGCTGAGACCAGCATCCAGCAGATGCTTGAGCTGCCTGGGAGTTCGACTTTGTGTCCGAGGCGGGGCGGGTCAGGTCGGGTTGCTGTTATTGTTGCCTGCCCGTGAAATCAGTGTTATTGATCATAGCTGCATAATCAAGTTACGAGCGCGCTTTCATTATGTTGCCAGTTGCCGAAAAAAACATCCACCACCAACAACACAATCATCATGTTCAGCAACATCGCTATCATCATCATGTTCGTCAGCAACATCATCGTCAATGACAGTTAGGCTGACCAACAGGTTGCCTGTTTCGGCTTATGTATACTCAACTTCACCACACTGCGAGGGTAGCTTACTCAACACAGAGCCACAGACAATGCTGCGTTGGTGGTGTGGGCAGTATAAGCAGTGGTGGTATTGGTGATGGTGGCTTTGCTACAGTTTATGTTGCTGATGGTGGATTCTTGCCGTCAACTTGTTCGGCATTCGCTCGCAGCTCGCACTTGTGTACGGTCGTGTTCTCGCGTCGAATCCAAAACTCTGAAACGGTTAAAGGTTCAAAACTTCGACTTGTCGTTTGTCGTTGCAATTGAAATCAATTGAGTGCAATTTGCGAGTGCAAAGTTCTGGCGCAAAATGTTTGCCTAACACAGTTTCGTTTAATTAATTTGTCGCGTGTGTCGTCGAGCAATCAAAACTAAAAACAAAACACAAAACAAGCGGAGTCAGTTCCATCAACTCTAATCGAAAAGATAAACAAAGCCAACGTCTCTCACACCAACTATGGCCGACGAAAGCCTGCACACAATGCCGCTGGAGCACAATATAGACTATCATATAGTCACATTGTTTGAGCGCTTGGAGGCGATGCGCAAAGATTCGCACGGCAATGCCATCAACAATCGCCTCTCGAGCACTCTGCAGGTGCCCAAGCGGAGCATGCAGGCCGAGATACGCACTCTGGAGTTCTGGAGGTGGGCATTGACAGCATCCGAACCACTAGCATTAACAGTCCGCCCACAACCCGAAGTCAGACCACGCAGTTGTAGCCATTATCATAGGCTTTGTTCGTCTGCCTTTATTGTTTATTGTGAATTCTAACTTTTGTGGCTTTGCGTGCATAATGCAGAGGCAGTCAGCTGTACTATAATGCTTAACTAAGTGAAATTTAAGTGGTTTGTCCGTGTGTCTGTGTGCCTGTGCCTCTGCCTTTGCCTTTGCCAGCAACTTGAAGACTTTCGCGATGACAAATTTTCGTTCACAAGTTTATGACAAATCATTAAAATTGATTTAGCTTAGCTAATTTTGATAAGTGCACCGATCTAGCTCTATTATAATTGATTTGATTGCCATTTGTTCATGTTCAAATACATCTGACTGCACCTAGAGTTAGGTTGAGGGGTATCTACGAGCCATGCACTTTTAGCTTAGACTATATCAATGTCACTTGGCATATCTTATTATATTATATTATATTATATTATATTATCTATTTAGTAACTGAGAACTTCTTAATTGAATTTAATACATTTTTATTTTGCTTACCTTTTTATATACATTTTTTGTCATATCAAATTGTTTGATAAAAAAATATTATAAAAAATCATAATAATTAATTTATAAAAAATTAATATTACTATTTTATTACATTATTACTTTTTATAAATATTTTTTAATTTCTTTTTTTAATTTTAAATTTTTTTATTTCCAACAAAAAAACTGAACCTATTTTATAAAATGATTCATTTTATTTAAAATATTTCAGAAAGCAATTATGACTTAAAATTTGCAAAAAATAATAGTAATTTTTATATTTGCTGCTTAACCAAAAGTTTATAAGCGAAATATAATTTTTACGCTCGTCAGTATTGTCAGTATTTTTTTTATACACCAAATTATTACATTTTTACACATTGTTAAATTTTTAATTTTTTTATTTTTTATATATATTCATATAAATTTTAAGTTTGATTTCTATTGGAAAACCAAAATATTTTCTTCTTAAAATATTTATTCAATGTTTTATTTCACCTAAAAAGTTAAATCACGTTACTTATTCTGCGCTACAAAAATCTTTATTGATTTTTAAATATTTAATCCCAAAATCTACAAATGATTTATGCAACTTTCAACTCTCTTAACTGTTTTTTAATATGTTAAGATTTTTTATCGCCAGCGTTAAATCGTTTTGCTTCTTAAAATTTCTGCTGACAGTCAGTTTAATATTAATTTAATTTCATTTAATGGCCGCTGCATTAAAAATCTATAAAGTAATTAAATTGCTGCTACGCTGTGCAGCGCAGTTTAAATAAGTTCTCTTCTTCTTTGTCTTCTTCTTTTCTTTTTAATTTTAAAATTTAAACGAAAGTTCGCCTCAAACGACCTGCGTGTCTGTGACAGCAGCTAGCCACAAAAAACAGAAGGAAAATATATATTTATTTTAGAGTCGGGTATGAGCATAGTTAAAGCCAATTAGGGAGCAGCGAAATAATGCAAAAGTTAAATAAGAAATTTGATGGAAATAAAAAAAATGCAAAGTTGGGCAACCAAATTGCAGCTGGAGCTGGCAATGTTTATGTTGCCATCGCAGCAGTTTGTTTGATTTTTCGTTATCGCAAATGCAGTGGGAGGAGGAGGAGAGGGAGGAGGAGTGGCTGCAAAAGAAGGCAGGGGACGAGGAGAAGTTGCTGGTTGTCATGGAGGGCGTAGTCCATTTGTTTTTTATGTTTTCTGGTTGTCCAGCGATGACGACGACGATGACGACGACCACGACCCCGGGCAATCGGCAGGCAGCTGCTGTCTCCTCAGTCGCTGTTAGCTTTTTGGTTGTAGAACCTCGCAGCGAAGCGAGGCTCCCTCTGTGTGTGTGCTTAATTGTCATTGGGCCTGAACAAGGCGCACATTGTGTGCAATTTGTAGCGCAACATAATTTCTTGAATATTTACTTTAATCATATGAAATGACATGCCCCAACTGAAGTGTCTTTACCGAGCCCCGCTGTTCTCTTTCCTTTGCAGATCCATCATCAGCGAGTGCCTTGCCTCGTTCCTGTATGTGTTCATCGTATGCGGCGCAGCTGCGGGCGCCGGTGTGGGTGCCAGCGTCTCATCCGTGCTCCTGGCCACGGCGCTCGCCTCCGGCCTGGCGATGGCAACATTAACACAGTGCTTTTTGCATATATCGGGTAAGCCAAGAAACAAAAACAAAACAAAACAAAACAAACAAATGAATAAACAGGCGACAAGTGTTGCATGTTGCTTGTTGTTGTTGTTGTGGAGGGTCCACAAACTTTGCCGTGGGAATTTCGTTGCCACCAAACAACAGCAGCAGCAGCAGCGGCAGCCACAAGAACCCCATTTCACATATATTTCGTAGAGTCTTTATGCTACGTCTCTTAGCAAAAGGAGTATATAGGTTTTGTGCTATTTGTGCTGAGCACTAGCGAGCTGACACTTGAGATATATACTTCTGGTTAGCTCATAGAGAATGTTACTATTTATAAGACTTCTAGCAGTTTGATAAATCAGAACAGTCTAAGTTAAGATTATGAAAATATTTTCATTTTGCTTATCTACTTAGCAGTCAGGTATACCCTACTTCAATCGAGCTATTCGTTTTTATTTTGTATTTTTTTTTTTTGTGATTTTCGAAAAGCCAACGCACTGTGGTTGTCGCCCACGTCTGCGTTTCCCTGCCCCACTCCTGCGGCATTTCCCCCCGACTTGTTCATGCCCCTTTGCTGTGCTGTGCCGTGCCGAGACTCTTATCTGTGGCGGGCGCACTTGCAGTGGCCTCTCTGTTATTTCTCACTGTTCTCTGTACAACTTCCTCGTGTATTTGTTCATCTGCGTTGACATTCAGGGCAATTAATGTTTTCACAAAAGTTGCAGCAGTTGGGGCCATGTGCAGTGAACACATGTTCTTGATTTCGCCTTTAAGTTGCAGCTATATATATGATTCTTTTCACAGCCAATTGGCTGCACATTAAGTTATGAGCACAGTCCCTCAATCCAGCATAAAAAACATATTCCACGAAAGTGTCAAAATGTTATTTAACGGTTTTCAGAGTGAGAGGGGCACCCCCAACCACAGCCACAGCACCACATATATCTTTCTTGTAATAGATTGAACTGAAAATAAACACCACTGACAACTGACAGAGCAGAGACAAAGTGAAATATTCTATTAAAAATAATAATTTGAAAGCTAATAATCGAATAAAAAGTTTCATTTCTATAAAGTTCTGCTTCCATGCAAATTAGTCTCCATATCCTTACATCATTCAGTTTATTATAGGATAGACTCTATGATATGCGTTCACTTTGACAGGTTTTCCCTTTTTCTGAGCGTAAGCCACCTGGAGCATTGGCAACTTTTCTTTTCTTGTTAAATATTTAATGATTAATCCACTTATCCGTATTTTGTTTCCTCTCGCACCACAGGCGCTCACATCAATCCCGCCGTAACTTTGGCCTGCTGCGTTATCCGCAGCATCTCCCCCATCCGAGCTGCCATGTACATGACCGCCCAGTGCGGCGGCGGCATTGCAGGCGCCGCTCTGCTCTATGGGTAAGTCAAACAAATATTATCTAATTATTTATCTAACAGATAAGATGATGAATTGATGGAAATTCATTTTTTTTAATGCAAGAAAATTAAGTTTGGCTATGACTAAAAATTCTATTTTTTTATTTATTATTTATTATTAAATATAAAATAAATTATTGAAAAATATAGCACTATAAATATGAGCTTTTTTAAAGCTCTATTAAGTGCTGGTGTGGCAAAAAAAATCCGAAAACTAAGAAATTTAAGAATTTAATTAATATTGACTGGAAAAGACAACTTAAAATATAAAAACAATTTTTAAAGCTCTATAAAAAATGTTTAAAATTCAGAAGATTTTTGTAAATTTTATTTAAATTTGAAAGGCAAACACGCTTTATATTTAATAGGCGTAAAATATGAGAATTTTGGGCTTGAGAAAAAAAATTGTTTGAAGTCTCAACGAAGAGAAAAATATTTCCTGAACAAAGTCATTTTTGAAATTTCTGAAAATTTTCATTTCTGTTTAAATACAAAAGGCAAAAACGATTTCTAAACGTTTGTAAACTATAATCTGAAGTGAGTGACAGCAACTGAAATGATTTATATAATTATGAAGATTTCTCTTTCATTCTCTCCACTTAATAAACTATACAATAATTCCTTAATAAGAAATATAAATATACAAATTGCATTATTAAATATTTAAAAATATTAAAAAAAATTTGGTAAACTTAAAAAATATTATTTGTTGCTGTAGAAATGTATATTTGAATAGAATAAAAGAAATAATTAGCTAATAGTTAAAAATTGTATTAGCTAAATTTGATTTTTTACGCAAAAATAGCAGAAAATATTAAATTCATCAGTTTTCATTTAAAAATATTTTAGGAAAAAAATTTCTTCGTTGAACTCGCTAAATCATTTAGTTTAATTTCATCGATATTTTTTTTCAAATTTTCGTTCAGTGTAATCAGAAATGAATTGCCAAAGTTTCTATTCAGCAATTCTATGAGTCTGGCTGCAATCAGTTTCCAAGTATTTCCTAATGACTTCATGGCACTCGAACAACACCCACGCAGCCTTCACTTAAGCTGCTTTAATTCCCGGTAAAAATTTCCATATGGAATGTCCATTGGGCATGAAATTCATTTCGATGTAAAAGTATGTTTGACCCGAGCTTGGCACAGGAAATGCGTTGCTAAACAATTTCCGAATTAAATTCAACAAGGTGCTCAATGTCACTCGAAAATGCAAAAGAAAAATGAAGAGACCTAACGGCTGCTGCGGTGACTGTACCAAGGGCACTTTGCCCAAAAATCATTTACAGGAAATACGTAGTTTGTGTGCAAAAAAGAACTAAATAGGGGAACATCTAGAGAAATGTATAAATAGGATATGCAGGTAAACGCTGTGTCCTACACACAGAGGGAGTTGGAAGCACCTGCATAGAGCGCAGGTAGTAAGTTGCCTAGGAGTTGAACTCTCTCCCCCCCTCTCTCTCTCTCTCTCTCTCTCTGTCTGCCCACGTTTATCTCAGCTAGGGCGAAAACATCTGCCGACGTGATTTCCCATTTTTGTTGAAAATGCGTTTGCTGTCAGGACCGGATTCCTTTGTCGAGGCCGGGCAACATGTGCTGCCTAGATACACACACGCACACTATCATAAAAGTGCGTATCCAAATCTTTGTAGGTCCTGTCAGCGTCTTTTATGCCTCGCTGACAAACACCGCGCAGGATATGCGTGTGGAATATCAGTCTTTGTGCGCGACGGCCATAGGTAGGCATATATATACATATATAGATAGCTATAGCGAGGGCAGCATAAACAATGAAGAGGAAAAAATATATTTGCTTCTGCGCATCGCTCCAATTTTTGTTCTGTTTTGTTGTACGTTGAACTCCTTTTTGGAAAGTTAATGCGCCTGCGCAGCCTGCCCCTCGACGCACGATGTGTCTCTCTGGGTCTGTTCAACATCTGTTTCTTTGGCTCCTTTTTTTTCGAGTTTGCTTCTGCTTGTTTTTTTTTTTAAGTGCATTGGCATCTTTACTTTCTACCGAGCCGCAATCCGAGTAGCCGCTGCAGCCATGAAACATGTTTCAGCTGCCAGCCCGATCAGGTTCGCATCTTCTTCTTTTTACTCCATATAGTTTGTATCTGTGGAAGGGTCGCTGGCAGCTCCAGTTGTTTTTTAGTCGAAACATATGTTTCCAAAAGTATTTTAATGTGAGTGTGTGTGTGTGAATGTGTTGATTAATTGGTTTAGATTTGGCAGTCGATTTTGTGGCTTTTGGGCGGCTTTTGAGTTGAGTTTTTAGGCTCAGTTTGATTGATGGGCTTCTAGCCGAGATTGAAGCCAGCATGAAAACTAACGAAGTCTCTTAGCATAATCGATGCGTGAAATTGAGTGCAAATTCTTGTGGTTTCCAAGAAAAAGTGAGCAAAGACAGCTGAGAGCTGTGAAAATAATCAAAATTTAGTTGCTATGAAGCAAAACTGTTTCATTTGCGAAATTTATATTAAATATTATAGAGATTAATTGAGGCTTAACTTTGCTTATAATAATATTAGATCTTTGGAGTCTTATCATGCTAGCATGCACTGTTTTTACTGTTAGTTAATGAACTTGGTTAGAATTAGAATCAAATCTCTTCTGTTTCTATCTCATATACGAATGCAGTACTTCCACTCACCGCCCGATGGCGCCACCATCGCAAGGGAAATTTACTATCGAGTAGGCGCTTCCCCTAGGCGGCTACTGCGTATATTTCAGCTGTATCGTAATTTAACTTTTAGTTTAGAATCAGCAATTAAAAAAAAAATGGTTAGAATCATGCGTTTTTTAACTGAAAGTATTTGAAAGTCCTTTACTTCTTCATATACAAGTTTAGCCTAGATTGTATGTCTATCCAAAATGTTTTAGATAGCCTAATTGTGATTTAATTTAACTGTTTCTACCTTGAATCTTGCAACAAAAGTTTTATATTTTAAATATAATTATTTTGAAAAAAAAAACATACATTACGATACATAAACTAGCTTGCTTGGGATATTCACATAGTTTGGTTGCAGGCAAGACTCTAATTTGTCTCTATTGATAAATATATTTATATATATATTTTATCTAAATGGTTCTATACAAAACTAATATTTTCTACAACTTTATGAATAAATATGATTTTAAAGACTTTCGAATTAAATTATTAAATTCTATAGTCGAAAATTTGACCATCTTTGTGCTGTATCGATTCATCTATTACTCTTGAAAATCTTGTAAAATCAAAATTTGCTTTCAGTTTTCGTCTTTTATATCTATCATGAGTCTTCTATAGATATTTATATATATTTTGCAGTTAATATTTGAATACAAACTATATGAATTTGATTTCTTTAGAAACTCCTAGAGAGCATAAATGCGAAGATTTAATTTGATAAATATATATAAAATTAAATCTTCGCATTTATGCTCTCTAGGAGTTTCTATAGATCTTGCTTATAAAAAACAATCAATAAAAGATTAAATTAAGTAAATATTTGATTTGAACTATGAAGAAATATTAAAGAGGAAATGAGGGATAAAACCCAAGAGTAGAAAGTGCAACATAGTTTAGAGATAAGATTCAGCTGACTTAAGAGCTATATTATTATTATAGGTAGACCTGCTCCATAGAGAGAGACATTACTTTGTGGGCACTTGTTCAGGCTCGCTGTCTGCGCTGCTGTCACATATCAATTGCCGCTGAACTGATTGCCCGACGTAGCCAAGAGGCACTTGAGGCGCAGGCTTTATTATTATTTGTATGTGTTCAGCTTTATTTTGGTTTTAAGTAAAAACTCTTCAGAAGGAGAGGCAGAAGAAGCAGAGAAGAGTCGCATGACATGCGTGGCCCGCATGCAGGTCTAAGTATCGATATCCGGCTCTCGCCTGCTTAGTTGTTATTGTTATGCGCGTTGCGTTCTGGAGGATATTCAATGAGGATATTCCAGTTGGTTTGCGGCCGTCGCTTTTATTCTTGACCGGCTGGAAACGTGCGCCAAGCACGTTCCAAAATATGCCTTTTCGGTAAAAATGATGAAAGATAAAAATCAGGTAGAGCCCGCCAGTCAGCCAGCAAGCAAGCAAAACTGCATAATTACCACTGGCCTTTGTTCGGCTCGACTTCGTCTTCAATTCCTGCTCAGTTGTTGCGCCTGCGCAGGATGCGACAGAAACTTGAAATCAAACACGTGTCGCTGCCTCTTGCTGGTTGGTCAGCACGAAAGGGCAGCTGGAACTGGCAGGCACTGAAACGAGCTCACAGCCTGCCAGGCACACCTGCCGCCCAACAAAAACAAAAATGAAAAAATTACAGTAGTTGCCTCTGACAGCAACAGCGACGCAGCGCACAGGAGATACAAACCAAAAAGAAGAAAAAACAGGATTTTCGAGTCGAAATTTGAATTTTAAATGCAACGAAACGAAACGAAACGTAACGAGCTGCCGCCAGGGAGCTGAAATCGCGGCCAGTGTTGGCATTATTGATTCGTATGTGGGGCATGGGGCAAGGGGCATGGGGCATGGCGTCTTCCTGGGCAGTTGCCCAAAATCAATTCGTGTCACATCGAGGCAATTGAATTACGTTTTTGATGCCGCCCGCTAACAGCTTATCGCTTGCAACATGAAAATGGCATCCTGTGCGCCGCTTCCGGTTGTTGCACACACACACACACACACACACATACAGAATTAAAAAGGGAGCGCTGCACAGCTGGTCCAGGCGTGCAATGCGGCTTCTTCTATTCAAGTTGTGTATGTGCCACACTTGCAACTGATTACTTTGATTGTGACACACAGCTTGTGGCAAGTGTGGCACGTTAAAATTTGTAATTAATTGCCATGTGGCAGAGTCAATAAATTGCATTTACTGCATGCATATTTATGGGGCATTTTAATTGTCTTCTGCAACGTGATGCGTTTCACTTAAATTTACAATTAAAAGCGAGGCGATAAAACAATATTAAATGGTTCAACTGTTGCACGTAAATATTTTGTTTGTTGCAATATCAGATTTGATTTGAAATGCAACAAAGGCATTTGTAGTCGATGTCCATGTTGACATGCCCTTTGTCACCTGCCACATGCCCCGTCTCCCCGACCAGTGGAACCACAAACCGCAAGCAGTTGCAGCGTGTTGCACATAACACATAACCTCACTTCTCATTGCGGATGTGGCAGCAAGAAATGTATGCTTATGTCCTTTTCACACAACTCGTGCAGCTTAATATATGTAGGTATGTCGTTTTCTTCCGCTTGTTCCCTTTTGTTTGCCTTTTTATCGTGCGCCAACAATTTTGTTCGGTTAGCAAAGGGAAGCTGCTAAGCTTAACGGCACATAAGCTGCTGGCAACATTTTGCTATTTCCTGCTACTTAGCTGTAACTGTGTGTGTGCGTGTATGTTTACTTGTTGTTGCTGCAAATTTAGCACTTTATACATTTATGAGCAAACAAGCCGGGATAAGAAAATAAACTCAAAAATCAAGCTAACGCAGTCATAACCAAAGGCATATTTACTTTGATACTCTTTGTTTATTGAAAACGCATTAAAAAGGCGTTTGACGAAGTGTTCGCTTCAGCCGTATAATGTTTTTAACTATTTATGATCAGCCATGTTGATCTAGTTCTTATTTATTCCAGAACTTGATATCGAGTTTATTTAAGCTAACCAATGTCTATCGATATATTGTGTTTATTTGTGCCAGTTCTAATTACTTAATGTTTGCATTGTTGTTATTATATTTCCCTTTATTTATTCAAAAGTCCTTCATATCGAATTTATTGAAGCTATCGATTTCTAATGTCAGCAATGTATATCGATATATGGTCTAGATATTCTATCAGTGCTAGTTACTTAATGCATGCATTTACTCGTTATTTTTGTAGCCATATGTATTAGAAACAAATGTTAAAACCAAAACTAATATTTGATGCTAAGTACTGTGTTCTTACATCAAGTAGCTTACACAGGGCATCTGCTGGTCAGCCACTGCACAGAGTTCTTTACTATTTTCTTTTCGGTGCGATCTAAACTTTAATAAGCATCCAGCCAAGTGAAAAATTGTTTTGGTTAACCGCACTCTGTGTACACATTGGAGACGGCTATGAAATATTGTATCTATACATATATTTTTCTCTATCAAATGCCTTTCAAATATTTGAACTTTTTATTCCCACGTTTTTTTCCTACTTTCCTTTATTGGCAGAGAGCTATTTGGTAGCAAAGCTGGCGCTTATTGGCGCTAAGCCGGCATGTCTCACCTTTTCACTTACTATTACATACGAATATTCTGGCATCCTTGTCGCCACCTTCTCCCTCCGCTCCACTCAATGCTATTTGCTGCAACTGCGGCTCTATTTGCTCAACTACTTTTAAGTGCATTGCGAAAGCGTTTATTTCCGGATTTTCACAGTTATTCAATGTTCCGGAGATGATGTGCAATTGCCATTGCGGCTCTGCGCGCTTCCACATCCATTGAAAGCATTGCAAATATTTATTCAACAACACTTATAATGTGTAAGAGTGTGGCATTTACCAACACAGCCACACACTTCCATTCGCCATTCGGCAAATTTCTTCTATGTATTTGCGTGCACATGAAGCCATATTGCATTTATTTATTTATCTTGCATTTAGCAACACTGTTTTCATATGCATTTTTGTTTTTTTTTTTTCCTTCCATTAGGCAAGGGGATTTTATATATGAGAGCTTAAAATTTAATAAAGAGGAAGACACGGGAAGGGATTTTTTTTTGAAAATTTATTTGATCAACATTTAGGCTATGGAGAGTTAGTAAATTATTAATGTATTTTATAAACGTATATAGAGAGAGCTTATCATGAATTGAATTCGATGTGCTTTATTCTTAGCAATCGAAGGCTTAATAACTAATAAATTCAATAGGCAGCTCAACTGCTGCTCAAGTCAACTTTGATTTATGCCCAATTTCAATTATAACTCAGATTGAAGTTAACTCACATAGCGCCAAGTTGATAGCAGCTGCATGTGAATAAACTCATTAGCATTAACGCAAAAGTTAAATTGTTCATAAATCTTGTAGGAGCCGAAAAAAGTTTTGATACCGCACACAGCCTAGAAGCAGGCAACAACTTTTGTCACTTTGCCAATTGAAACTTTGGCAATCTAAATTATGTTCCCGTTGCTTCAGCTATATCTATATCTATATATATGTATGCATGCCCATATGAAGTGGCAAGTTAACTAGCTGTCTGAGCGCCTAACTTTGGGTCGCCGTAAATATTCTATATGGTTATATATGATTCGTTAACTTTAGTCACTCCTAAGGCAGTATTAATTGGAAATTCTCTCTGTTTTTGATGTCATTTGCAGTGTCACCGTGCCTGGCTATCAGGGCAATCTGCAGGCGGCAATCTCTCACAGCGCCGCCCTGGCCGCCTGGGAACGTTTCGGGGTTGAGTTCATACTCACCTTTGTGGTGGTGCTCTGCTATTTCGTCTCCACGGATGCCATTAAGAAGTTCATGGGCAATTCGGCGTTTGCCATTGGTGCGGCATACAGCGCCTGTTGCTTTGTGTCGGTAAGTTTGACATTGATAATGATGCTTAAAGGAATGCCACAACACAGATCTAGAGACTCGAAACTCGAGACCGAGACAGAGACAGAGACAGAGACAGAGACCCAGTCAGAGCCTCAAGAAACGCACCTGCCGTTTGCGCATTTTTATGGTGCAAAAATCGCAGCATGACAGGCACCAGGCAACGGGCAGAGGCAGAGGCAGAGGCACAGTCAACAAAAGAGACCGAGAAATTGGTCGAGATAATTAATTTAGCGCAAGTCAGGGTCGAGCGCGGCTCGCCACGTCGCTGTCCAGAAATTAAAAGCAAATATTTAGCCAGTTTATTTTATTTTTTGCTTTCGTTTTCGTTTAAGCCGCACAATAAAAATGAAATTTATATTGATTTGAATTACGATTTCGAGCTTGCGATAATAATTGAACAAGCAATCATAAACTGAATTTTAGACAATTTATTGAAGTGGAATTCGTTGAAAAGTGAAATACGAACATTTTTTAAATCTGTGAGCTGCTAAAAACAATATTCAAGGCTGGCTAAGCATTCCAAGATATATCTTTTTTTTTAATATGTTTTTAAAAACAATTTTATAAATTTTATTAAACAAAAAATTTGGAAAGTCGAGGTAAATTCTTCATGCATATTATATATGCCAGTTATAGAGCTAGATTATATAATTTTTATCATAATTAAATTGCACATAAATCTAGTAATTACTGTAAGGCTTAGACATGTTATTCAAGAAGAGTATATTGGCTTTGTGAACACTTTATAATGCTCTAAGCTACTCAGCGTTAAGCCTAGACAGATATGCCTCATCCCTCGTCCCATATTCCCACAGCTATTTAACACTCTGCCTTTCCCTCTTGCTCCCTTGCAGATGCCCTATCTGAATCCGGCGCGCTCTTTGGGTCCTTCATTTGTGCTGAACAAATGGGACAACCATTGGGTATATTGGTTTGGCCCGCTCGTTGGCGGCATGGCTTCTGGCCTGGTCTATGAGCATATATTCAGCTCTCGCCGCAGCGTGCGCCATGCCAAGGGCAGCATTGACAACGACTCCAGCTCCATACACTCCGAAGATGAACTGAACTATGACATGGACATGGAGAAGCCAAACAAGTATCAGCAGTCGCAGGGCACTTATCCGCGCGGCCAGTCGAATGGGGCAGCTGCCACAGCTGCGCAGCATGCCGCTGCCAATATGCCGCCCATGGGCGTGGTCGGCGCTGGAGCTGGCAACTACTGTCAGAACTTATACACCGCGCCGCCGCTCTCCTCCAAGTACGATCAGCAGCAGCAGCAGCAGGAGCCGCTCTATGGCGGCACTCGCTCCCTCTACTGCCGCTCGCCCACGCTGACGCGCAGCAACCTGAATCGCTCGCAGTCGGTGTACGCCAAGAGCAACACGGCCATCAATCGTGACATAGTGCCGCGTCCCGGGCCACTGGTGCCAGCGCAGAGTCTCTATCCCATGCGCACGCAGCAGCAACAGCAGCAGCAGCATCATCAGGCAGTCACGGCTACCCAATCGTCGCATCTGCAGAATCAGAACGTGCAGAATCAGCTGCAGCAGCGTACCGAGAGCATTTATGCCATGCGCGGATCCATGCGCGGACAGCAGCAACCACTGCAGCAGCAGCAGCAGCAGCAGCAGCAGCAGCAACAGCAGCAACAACAGCAGCAGCAACAACAGCAGGCGCCAGTTGGCATGCAGCAGCAGCTACAGCCGCAGCAGCACATGTCGGAGCCACAGGCGCAACCACAGGGCTTCCAACCAGTCTACGGCTCCCGCAACAATCCCACACCTCTGGATGGCAATCACAAGTTCGAGCGTCGGGAACAGCAGCAACAGCAGCAGCAGCAGCAGCAGCAACTCTATGGCATGACCGGTCCACGCAATCGCGGCCAGTCGGCGCAGTCCGATGACAGCTCGTATGGTTCGTATCATGGCTCTGCAGTCACGCCGCCAGCGCGTCATCCCAGCGTGGAGCCCTCACCGCCGCCTCCACCTATGCTGATGTATGCCCCACCACCACAGCCCAATGCAGCACATCCACAGCCCATACGAACGCAATCGGAACGTAAGGTGAGCGCGCCAGTTGTTGTCTCCCAACCGGCAGCCTGTGCTGTCACCTACACCACATCCCAGGTGCCCCCAACGATCACGACAACAACGTCTCAACAGCAACAGCAGCAGCAGCAACAGCAACAGCAGCAACAACAAATGATGATGCAACAGCAACAGCAGCAGCAGGCACATCAGCAACATTATGGCATGCTGCCGTTGCGACCCAACTGAAAGCGGCTCTCGTGGGGCCCCGTAACGACGCCGCCGCCAACGATACACGCCGCCCTCGCAATTCACCCCACGGGCACCATGACCCTGCACAGCTGCAGCCTAGCCAAGCAGAGCAGTTTGTTTTAGCTCCCAGAGAAGGGTAGTCCGGGCATCCAAAGGAAATGTACGCAAAGTCCTAGCATTTAGTTAAAAACCCATTTAAGTGCAGTTTAATTATATATATATATATATCCAAATTATATATATGCCTAGAGATAGCAGACGAAACATAGCCACAATGTATTATTCATATACGACAAGTAAGAAGGAACTCAAACCTAGCAACATCAACAACGATTATCATAAGTACATATATTTATATAGCCCATATTCCATCTAAATATTACACTATTCTCATAATCGACAAATCGTATAAAATATTGAACCATATGATACTGTGCTTAAATCTCATAAATCACAGAACATTTTATTTTGTTGTTTTTATTTTGTGTTTCGTTATCCCGACGACAGGGAATTATATATTTCAGTTAAATTTCATTTTTATATATTCAGTTTTTTCAATCCAACTCAATTCCTCGACTGAATCGCATTCGATCTAATATATTATCACAAAAGTACTTTTTTTCTCTCAAAATTTTTCTTTTTATATTAAGTTTTTAATTTTATCGAACCACTTAATATAAATGTATATATATACATCTATACTGATGATAATTTAATTTAAATGTTATCACTAACAGCTTAACCATATTTAAATGTAAATGTTAGGCTAAATAGGCGTAAAAGTCGGCATCTATATAGCTTATATCATAGAAAATATATTCATATATACACATAGTTCTAACCATTAAATGCTTTGTATTAACTTTAAGTATTATAGTGTGTATTAATAGAATTTAGAAAAAAGATATGCATATATATATCAAACACAAGAACTGTTCTGTAACCTAGAAAGAAATGTTGATCGAAATTAAATTCAATTTAGCGCTTGCTAAAAATGTTTTCGACTTTATTTTGACAAACTGGAATACTTATATCTTATAAGTTCCTTGCCATTAAGATCAATCCCATTAAAAGCAAATAAAATCATCCCAAGCTGCGCCCGCTCTCAAAAATCCCGCATTCAAATCATAACAGTCAAAATCTTGAGCAATAAATATCCTTAACGCAGTGTTGAGCAAATATGCAAAGTGGGAAATAATAATTATGCGCGCACTTTGCAACACTTTTCGAGCGTTTTTTTGCTTTTGCATAAATTAAAAGTACCTCGTTCTCCAGTGTTTCGTAATTATGCAAGGAGGGAAATAAGTAAGCCTTGATTAATGCATGCGCTTTGCAACACTGATTTCAAAGTTGTGAGGCGCTTCATTTGTATTTAAATAAAAATGTATAGTAGCTAAACAAATACTCTTCCTCCAGTGTTTCAAAATAGTATCCAAATGAAACGAAAAAAGTCATCACAAATGTACGCACTTTGCAACACTGTTAAAGCGCTTGTTTTGTATTTGCAAAGTTTAACTGTTGAATGTTGTAATCATGCAAAGATGTCTTTACAACTTAAACTCAGACCGCAGCCTGTCCCCAAAGGCGCTGTGCACCAAAATAGCCGTTGCAACGTCAACGCCGACCCCAATAAGGAAGCGCCTCCGACTTGTCCAGATTACAAACCTAAGGACCACGTGCGGCCTACTGGACAGACCGAATCTGCTACCGTTGATCACACCATTTAGTCTGTTCGATGGATACTATGCGACCAACAAAATACAGTCAGACAATTGGAATACGTTGAAGTTGCTTGAGTATCTACAGATAGCCAAAGAGATGTACCAGCTGTCGGACTGCGATGCGCTGCAACTGCTAGGATTCTTTAAAAACAATTTGACTGAAGCATGTCGCCATCTATATCTCAATAGCAATCAGTCCATTATGCTTTTGGACTTCGATTCCCCCTGGCGACTGAGCGCGAAATCCATTAGCGAGCTGCCCACCGTGGAACAGTTTACGACCCACACGTTCTTCAAGAACTTCCATCAGCTGTTCATCGTGAACTCGAATATATTGACCAACGTATTGCCACAGCAGCCATTAGCCGAGCAATTCTCAGGTCGCTATCTGCGCATACAGCGCACCTTTCATCGCGGTCAGGTCATCTGGGTGGGCTGCGTGCTGCCCACTCAAGAGGCACCCATTGAGGTTGCCGCGCTGCTGTTGCCCTCGTCGGAGCAAACTGAATTGAAATGCTGTACCCAGCTCATGGACGAGTTGGAGCAATATTTGGCTCCCCTTGTACTGGCCAGCAAATCTTGGACCGCCCTTGAACAAAAGCCCAAGAAGCACAACGTTGTCATGGAAGTACTCACCACACTGACAACCTCCATGGATGAGCTCTTCAAACATACAATTCCAAGAGATGCCGTTAGTGCTATGCTAACATCTTATGAAATCCTTTACTGAGAGATCAACGGATCTACGATAAGTTAAAAGTCAGGAATTTTTTTTATATTTAATTGGATGAGCATTTATTTTTTTAGATTTTATTTAAAGTATATAAACTTTAGCTTTACAAACATAAAACAAAATAAAATAAAAAAATTAACAAATTTTTTTTGTTTACTCTTTTTGATGGGGATAATCTTATGATGGTTTTAGTGATGAAGTAAGCATATCAAAAGAAGTTTTTAGGAATGGAAAGTGGAGTAAGAGATTTTTCTAAAACTGCTTTGAAATAAATTGGCAGATATATATACAATTTCTAAAAAAAATAAGCAAAAGAATGAAAATTTAAAAAAGTTATTAAAAGTCAACCAACTGCACTTTAAGAAGACTGCTGCATTAAAGGTCTCGTCCTTTGAAAAAAAACATCAAATATAGTTTATAAGATCTTCGATATATCTCTCTATATATCATCGGAACTATCGTATTTAACGCGTTCCACGTCGGACAACTCGCTCTGTTCGTCCGCTGACCAATAGTCGTCATCTTCGTTCTCGCTCTCCTGCGGGACGTATCGACTGCGCTGGTAACGCAGCCAATGTATGCGACCGATATCAGATTGAGGGCTCTTGGCGCGCTCCGAGTCATAGACCAGCCAGTGGGAGTGCTGCTGCGCGTACAAGGAGTCCAGCAAACTAGGCCAATGCACATTGAGGCCAGCCTTGGCCAGCTTAACGTGCAGCTGATAGCCATGCTGCTGCTCCGATAATATCTGCACCTCGCCCAGCAGATTGAGAATGCAGCGTTGAGGAGGCGTCGTCTCCGTTACCTGATAGAAGAGGACATTGCCCCGGTGCTCGAGCTGGTATTGCGGCACTTGCTGCTCGAAGATGAGCTCGAGCTGCAGCAGAGTCTGATGCCAGCGCACCTTTGGACGCACTGCATTGTCGGCGACGGTGGCACAGCACAACGCACTGGCCATCTTAGCAGGTGTCAGCTGTAGCTTGGTCTCTGCTTGTACATGAGACTTGCTCTTGCTTGCCATCTTTGGGCTATTCGCTTTGTCGTGCTTTGGGTTATCAGTTGCCAGAATTTCCTGCATCATGTTTTTGGCGGCATCTTTAATCGTTGCATCGTCGGAGCTCAGATCCTGCAATAGAATCTCCATAAATGTTGATGCGCTGTCCTTAAAATATGCGGACTCCGTTAACTTTTCTGGCTCCCCTTGAATCTCAGTTATCTCAATAGGTTCCTTGGGAACAAGGGCGTCCTTGCTAAGCAGTGAGTTAGTTGGGAAATTGGTTTCAGATTGGACTTGCTTGAAGTTTATTTCAGTCTCTATCCCTTCCGACTGATCTGTCGTGTCCTCAAGCCTTTCACAGGCTGTTCCTTCGGACTGTCTTCGAACATTTTCAATACTCTCACTTTGCGTAACTTTTCCCTGCTCCAGAGACAACGCTGCCTGCTCCAATAACTCCTTTTCCTTCACTTGCTCATTTCCGACCTTTAGCTCATCCTTAAGGCTACAAATTTCCCGCAATCGCGTTTGCTCCTTGAGCACCTCAACATGCAGCTTGTGCAGGTTTTTTATCATCTGCTCGTTCCGCTTGGCGTATCTCCGATTGATCAGCTCGTCATGCAGTTGTGTAGCGGCTACGCAGGCTTGTAGTGTCGGACAATCCTGAAGCACTGCCATGTCCTTCGCATAGACTACATCGAACATAGCAAACTCTACCGTTAGCTGCAAGTGTTGACGGTCACTCAGATGGCTCAGCAGCTCAGTAACCCACTCATTGGCCTCCTGCTTCCAATCGCCCTCACTTATGGGGGGCACCAATCCACAAAGTCTGACATCCATGGCCAGTGGCGGCTCCACTGCGAAACGAGCATCGCACTCCATGAGCTCAGTCGGTTGCACCTTCAGCAATTCCGTGCCCTCGTCCATTTGCTGCACTGTGACCAGGCGTTTGTCGGACAAATCTACAATGCGAACCCGTTGATATTTGTCACGGCGATGCAGAACGCAGATGTCGGAGATTTTCAGCGCCTGCATCGGCCGCCGATTCAGCCCGCTGCTCATGTGCACGTAGAGCGCAGTGATTAACTTGCGTAGGGTAGACAAGTTCGGAGCATCTTGCCAGGAGACGCCATCACAGCTCTTATAGCTGACGGGCATAATGGCGTAGTGCACCGGATCATAGATCTTGATTATGTTGCCACGCACAACAGTGCCTGATGGCCACAGAGCCGTCTGGTCTGGCCGCCGGAAGTCCACACTGGTTGGGTAATGCCTCCGGCTGCAATACAGCCGAACACACGCGCCCCTGCTCAACATTTGCTGGCAGAGCTGACGACGTTGGTCTGTCACCTGGCGACAACTCTGCACCATTTGTTGTATGTGATCGCTCAGCTGAATGTCGTGAGCTTCGAGAAACTGCACCAGACGCGGCAACTCGTGGCTATTGCTTTCGTCTAGCATTACACAGGAGACGACACCCCCTCCCAACGGCTGTGGCAACAAACAGTTGTTAATATTCCCGCTGAAAGCATGAAATCGATACGAGAACTTTGACCAAGAAACAGGCAAGCTGTAGTGAATCATGAGCTCAAAGTTGGCAACAGGCAGCGGAGTCTGCTGAACTGCATCCGCAACCAATAGCAGCTGATGAGCTTGCTGAAGAGTAGGAGTATAGAATTCATTTCAGATTAAACATTGTTAAAGCTAGACTTTGCCTCTCACCTGCCCAGCTGCATCAATGGAACCAATGCAGTCATAGCCCGCTGCAGTCAACGCCTCCCGTAGAGCAGCCAACTCCAGCTCGTGCTTGCAGTAAATAATCGTGCGTCGCTGCAGAGGATTTTGCACTGTCAAATAGTCGAGTAGACGTCCGATCTTCCTATCGCTGTGCAACAGAGTCACACTTAGCTTTATGCTGCCATAAATAGCTGCCTCTAGGAAGTCGCCGAAGAGCAGTAGAGGGTTGTCCCCATGACGCTTGAGCAGTTCAAGAAAGACCTTTCCATGCCACTGCTGAGCGATGACTACCAACTGCAGCTGGAACTTGGTAAAGTTCTGGAGCAGTTGAAGCAGTTCGTTGAGCAAATGGGGCTGCGCAGCGTTCACGCGATCGTAGTCATCGATAATGAAGTGCTTCAAGCGACGCGGATCGATCAACTGCATTTCGTGCTGCAGCAGCTCCTTCAGATGGGTGGGCGTTGTGACCAGAATGCCGCACGCGTTGAGCAGTCGCAGCTGCAGTTCCTTTTCCGTATGTCCATGTGTGTTGACCACCTTCAACATGTTCGTCTTGTAGGCACTCATCAGCTGATTGCACTGGTTAAACAATGCCTGGGCATTGGCTACGGAGTCGGCCAGCAGCAATGCCAGAGGACCAAGAGTGGGGCCCTTCCCTAGCGTTCGCATCGAGCGTATCACCAGCGAGCACAATGTGGGCAAATAGCACCAGGATCGACCGCTACCAGCACGATCCACCAGCACCAGCGAGTGCCCGTTCGCCAGATGCGGCCAGGCATAGCGCTGTGTGGCCAGCGTTGGCTTCACATTCATATCTCGCATGGCCAACAGCACATCCGCGCAGAGCAGCGAATCGGCTAAGCTGTGAATAGGTTGCACTTTGATCTTGCTGTGTGCCAGCACCTGGTTCTCCAGGCCTTCGAGTTCCGGGACTGAGTGCACGGACAAGTCATTCGCTTTAGCTCGCAAGCGGTATGCATTATAGATACTTTCCAGCTTGTGTGGATTGAGTGCTGAAGGATGTTTACTTGTCGTCAAGGATTCTGTTCCGGATGAGCTGTTACAGCTATCATACTTATCCGGGTTGCTTGATGAATGCTCACTGGTCTTTGAGTTATTCGTATTTAAATATCCGCAGATACGTTCCGGTTTATCCGGCGCTGATGACTGTTCTTGACTCGTCTTCACAGATGCCGCTTCGGTTGTGTTGTATCCGGGTTTATCCAGGTTGTTTGTTAAGTGCATATCTTGACAGGTCTTCAAGGATTCCGCATTTATATTTTTATAGATGGGCTCTAGTTTATCCGGACTTAGCGTTGCAGATTGATCTTCACTGTTCGTTATGACTTTCGTTCCGGATGGATCATTAAAGCATTTTAATTTATTCTCATCGAACGGCAAAGGCTGATCTTCACTTGTATTTAAAGGTTCTTTTTTTAAGGATGTATCGTAGAGGCGATCCACTTTATCCGGATAACTCTGACTGGTTTTTAAGATTTCGTGCTCGTTTATATTCTCCAGTTTGGCAGACTGCGAACAGGGATTCCGATGTGACGACAACAGTTTCTTATTGGTCAAGAGCTTGACAGATCCCTGCTCTGCTTTGCTGATACACTGTTCAGCCTGGTTGTCCGGAAGCTCTTGGATGGTAAACAGCGAATTGCTCGCACTTGGGGATAACGCTATCAGTTCTTGATTGAAGTCGAATGTGGGCAGCTTTTCAATCATTGATTTCTTTGGCTGCTGATGAGGCAAACTCTTATTCTGCTCCAGCTTTTGCTGATTGGGCTGCGGCATACTCATGGGCCGCTTGTAAAATTCTAAAATGTTGCGACTATTTCTTTTGTTGGTCGTTTGTTGTTCCAGGGCATCGAAACTGTCCGTGGAACAGGTGCTGCTGCTCGAGTTGCTCGAGCCGTGGCTGCGATTGAGCGCCGTATCCACGACGCCATCGTTGTTGCTCTTAATTTTGCTGAGGCGCTTCGCCGAGGCGGGTATTCCGGGCGCTGTCCGGCATTGGAGCAGGCTATCCAGTCTAGCCGACTGCTTCGAGGGACAGGTGAGATTGCGGGTCTTGTTGCCTAGTCTATGATAGCCATTCTTAAAAATCGAATCCACATAGTTCTGCTGCTGTTCGCTATGGGCACTACTTGCAGTTAGCTTATAGCCGGGCTGCAGCTCCACTTTGGGCAGCACTTTGAAACGCTGCATCAGTTGAAGTATGGTCATGACACGCAGGCTGGGCTTGATATCTGGCTCATTCAACTCCGCCAAGTCCACGTCATACGCCACCCTGGAGCTCTGAGCACACATCATGCTGACCTCATTGACTTCCAGGCGAGCACATTGCCTCTCCACCAGATAGCTGGCCGCATCTATGGGTGGCTCGTCCATCAGCAGCTGACCAAAGTTGTGGCGCTCGTTGTTGCGATGCTGGACCTTGAAGATCAGACGCTGCGCTTCATCCATGCGCTTGTCCAACATTCGCACTGCCATCTTGGACCACTCGCTGCCCGTGCGCGGCGCCACCCAGGCTATGCCACCCCATGCGATCTCGACGTACCGTTCACTCTGCTGCTCCGGCAGCAGCCACAGGTCTTTCGCTCTGCAGTTGATAGTGAAACCATAGTCCATGGCCCACACTAGATACTCATCACCATGCTGGCAAACAAGGACGAGTCCCCGCAACAATTTCTCCATATGCAACGGCTGATACCGTACAACGACATGTTTATCCGGTGCATAATTCTCGCGCTGATTGTGCGCATGACAATGATCCGACAAATGCGCCTCCACGTGGTTCACATAGGCGCCGCCAATCTGCAGCTGATGCAACGTCGTGTAGCAGAACAACTGCGGATTCACATAGTGCGTAATCAGAATCGTCTCCTTTGCCCCGCTGTGGTCCAGCTCCTTTTGCTCCTCCATTTGCTCTAACTTCAGTTGAACTGTTTGAAGGAAACGTTTTATTTATACTTTAAGTTCCATTAGGAAAAGTTCATATATATATATACATATATACATAAAGGAAAATAATAGCCAAAGCTTAAAGTTCAAATCATTCCACAAGAAGTAAAAGAAAATTATTCATGTGGAAACTTCTCTGATTTCTACGCAAGACAAAGTTTTGTGTAGACGAAATATTTATATATACAGTTAAAGCCTTAATTGTGGATAGCGCCATAGAGGGAGACTGTAGTATAAGCTACTTATAAATGTGAATTTTTAACTAAGGGAAACAGTATTTAACATCTCTCAATTAGAAATTTCCCATTCTGTGTTTTCTGTTTGAATTTATAATTGATGTAAATACTGGGAAATTTTTATTAAGTGTCGGAGCCTCGTATACTTTAAACTATATATAACATATACTTAGGCTCATATTTGGACTTGATTTGCAAGTATAAATAAATACTGGGCAGAGCCTAATATATTGTATATTGCCTTGCCTCAGAAACTTATTCATATTATACGATAACTAAATACAGGAAAATACTGGTTTAAGCAATGGCATCTCTATGGTATAGACAAAATACTTAAATACCAAACAGAGAGAACAGTTTACAGTGGGAACAGTGTAATATATCGAGTAAGTTGAGACAATGATTTTCATTGTTTTCTAGGAATTAGAATATGTGCATGCTGGGAACAATAAAGAAATTCGTTTGGGGAAACAAGACTTTTTATATTATGTCCATTTGTTTTAGGTTCTTTGAAAATATTATTTATTATTAATAATTATTTTTAATTAATAATTTGCAAAAGTCTTTAAAGGAATTTATAAATATCATCTTATATAAATAATGCGATTTATATAAGTACTGGAAATAGTTAGTCATCTATTCCTCTCTCTCTCTCTCTCTCCCTACTGTTTACCCCTAGTACAAATAGAGCAATTCGTCCTTAGCCCAATTTAAGGTCATTTTGCGCTTTTAAGCAACTTTTGCTAATTGAATTTTAAACAAAGCTTCTGCTGCGCACTTTAAACTGCATAAAAGGGGTAAACTAAAGTGCCAAAAGCCGCAACTGGGCGCATCGGAAGGAGGTCCTTGTGCCTATTTGCCACTTGTTTGTGCCACGCTGAAAGCGCAATTTGCCACAGCAGGCGACCAGTTGAAATTGTTGTTGTTTTAACGCATTCACTCCAATTGTAAAACGGTAAAACGTTAAAACTTAGCCCGTTGTGGCACAGCTATTGACTCGAGATATACGCTTGATGCTGTTCCGAGTTTATTGGGCTGACAAGTTCGCTTTAACTAACTGCCTAGTACCATATATATAACTATCATATCTATCATAATTTATACATGTATATATCTATCGATCGCTTAATCAACCATGAAGATTTGCTTTTAGTCAAGGCGACTACCTAGGGATTAGCTTATGAGAGCAAATGCAACTGCCTGCCCTAGCACACTCTTGGCCCTCCCCTTCGCAGCTAAACAGATTGTGCTTGTAAAAAAATAAGCTGTAATTTATCGTATAAAAAATCACATAAATGAAACGATATGCGGATAATATGCAAATATGCTGCCGGCTCTGGAGGGGTTGATAGATCAATCAAATCGAGGCTATTCAAGCGCACAAAGCTGAGCTAATTTGAAAATGTAGTATAGAAGGGACTTCCATCAGCTAAATTAATCGGACACACTACTAAATCCGTCAAGCTATATTTAATAAAAAATGAATATTATTATACTACACAAGATGTAATTATGCACAAGGAGACTCGATGTGACAGTATATATTTTGACATACTTGAATTTCACATAACTCTCTCTAGTTGCTGCGAGAAGCCGAGGCACACGCTCGCAAGTGTAAACAAAAATTATAACGGCGTCTGCTAAATGCCATTATCAGCATTTCCTGACGCAGTAGTCTTTCGGGTAAATTGCCAAGCTTCGCTTAAGCTATTAGCGATAAGAAAATTTGATAGAACGTACGACTTTACGAGATTTATATACATTTTCTTCAAAGCAGTACTCACCGTAACACCAGACGCTTATGACAGGCAATAATTATATATGTAAATTTCATAGTCCATTTGCCAATACTAAGCAAAGTGAACTGCACGGCGTTTCACAACTCTAGAAAGAAGTGCTTCAAAACTAAAATGGATGCACGCGCGACGAGAACACAGAGAGAATAAGAGTTTCATAACAGTAAGAAAACTTGGAATTAGGAGTTTAACATAATGCCATACTCTTTTGTTCCATAAAGATCGAGTAAGTAATTGAAAGCGCGATACGAGCTAGAAGCGATCGACTGAGCGACTGTTTCACTGTTTATGTCTGGCTGCCGGATTCATAAACTGTTCAACACACACACACACACACATGCACGCATAGCGCATGTATATATGCATGCATATGAGCTTGTCATGTGCATGTTTGTGTATTTGTGCCAAGTGTCCGATTTCTTATGTGCAGGCAATTATGAAAGATTCTGATTTGTCAAAATGTAGGGTTTTTATTTTTAAAGATGCATTTAACTGGTGTTAAAGACTTAGATAATATAAAAATATGACTAGAATAGTTTTTGCCAAATAGCAAGCAGGGGATTTCCTGTTCATCCTCTTTCTTTTCTGAAATAAATTATGGTCATATATGCATTTATGTATGTATGTACATGTGTGTATGTGTACATATTCGTAAACAGACGTATGTATGTATGCTGTATATTTATGTACATATAGCTGTATATTTATATATATTTTATTGCCTTACATATTTTTAAGAATCACTTTTATTTATTTTTTATAATTTTTTTTTTTCAAATTTTTATTTAAATATTTTGCTTAATATATATGTAAGCTCATTGTATATATTTACTCTTATAAATCATTTGCAATCTAAAACTGCATGCACCCGCCTTATTTTTGCAACCCTTAACCCTTTGTTGGCTAATTTCAAAACAAAGTGTGAACAATTTATTTGGCCTCAAAAAGTTGTGAGTTTTCCTATAGAAAGTGCAACATTTTTTTTACCCTTTTCCCGTTTTTACCCTCTACAACTTTCACTGCTACATTTGTTCCTCCTTTTTTTGTTTGGTATTGCGGGTCGCCTATAAAAAAGTTTTATGCCACTGGGTCGCCGTCGTCGTCTATCATGTGTACCCAACCCCTATTTCCTATATCCTTAACTCCTTTTTTATTTTATTTGATTGTTTCATATTTATGAGGATTATGCTTTAGTGTTGAATGCTGACTGCTCTGCCAAGTGGCTGGCTACGTGTGGTAATTTATCTTGCGGTTAAGGACTCTCGTCTCCTGGCCTCGTCCGTGGGCCTAAGTGAAAGTTCTATTTCAAATGTGGCTGCCGGATTCGCATTGTGTGCGGTTGAATTGCGAAAGGGGCGGAAGATCGTACGCACAAGATAAACAGCAAATGTGGATGAGGTCAGTTGCTAACGGACTCAATTGAATTGTAACATTTGCGATGCGCTTTGCCAAACGCTTATTTAAACAAATCAGGCCGCACGGGTTAAAAGCCTTTGAATGGAAAGTGCTTTGAAATACGCTTGGAAAGGGGCGAAGAGTCGGAGTGTGTGTGCGAAGACTTGGCACGCATTTTTGTTTATTTTGCAAATCTTTGAACTGCGCGCTTGCTAAATGGTCTGTTCGATTTTTTGGCAAACATACGTGCTGCGCTAGATTAATATTTATACAATATCCGCATTAAAGAGTTCATATTGTAAGTCTAATTTTGGCAGATGCTCAATCCATACAAATAAAAGCCAGAAGTTTTCTTCAACCAGATGACCCAAGTAAATAAATGACTTAATTTGATATACTATATTTAGTAAATAATTTTAATAGAATAATAGTAATAATATTTTGTAATAAAACCGCAATTCATTCCATTGGATTAAGATTAATCACCTTTAAGCTGGTCATACTTTTGTTTACATATCTTCTTTGAAGGCCTGCCAACCTATTTCAGAAATGCTAACTTGTTTTGCTGAAAATTTCCTAAATAATCGATAAGCATGCGCATCACATGTCGAGCGCCATTTTTGTTTTCGATAATAGTTCTTATCGACATACACAAAGCGCATCACACATACAAAGACAAAAAAAAATAAGCAGGCAGCATACGAAAAATTAAGAAAATTAATTAAGCGCTGCTTACGACGAGTTTGTGCTAAAGCAAATAAATAATATTTTTTTGTGTGTGGCGTCTCAACAACAGCAGCAAAATAACCAAGTTTAATATACGCCTAGAGAACATCATGTCGAAAAATAAAAAATTGTCGCTATCGGGCGACTCGACAGAGAAATTTATCTACAAGCCCAAGGACTTAATATGGTAAGACTGCTTTGCCACAACATAAATGTACAGTGTTCTAAACAATTAACAAAGTGTAAACTTAGCTCGTTTAAAAGAAATAATAATTTGTGCTTGATTTGATGCAAGAAAATCAAATGAAATCATACATAACCTCAACTGCCGCTGTGTTGGGCAAGCGTAAAATAATTGAAAAAATAGACAATTGGTTAACAATCAAGCATATATTGGAAAGCATGAAATACAGTTATGTTTTCTTCTAAACACCCCACACACGACTTTGTGATAGCTGCCGCTGCCGAAGTTTACTGTTGCAGCAAACGTCGACGTCGCTGCGTTGGCGCTTTTTTCGCGCGCGCGCGCGCCCAATTTTATAGTTATTGATATGAAAAAACATTTTATATGTGAACAACTTAACTAAAATGGAAATTTTTATTTATGTTACAGGGCTAAAATGAAGGGCTTCACACCATGGCCGGGAATGGTAAGCGAAATGTTTATGCTGCTGCTGGCGGCGACGCCGCTGCCGCTGTCGCTGCCGTGTTTGTTTTCGACTGTACTTTTTTTATGCAGCAGCGGTAGAGGCGTCGGACGTCGAGCGCTGCTACCTCTGTTGCTGTTGCTTACGCTGTCGACGTCATAACGCACTTACACGCTTCAATATTTGTTGTAAACGGAGTGTATAGCATTGATATCAACAGCGCGCGTATTTGTTCTGTCTTTGGCTTTAAATATCACAGCTTTCTACTATATGTACAGCTGAATAACGAAAAAAGAATGGAAAAGAACACAGTGAAATAGCTTGAGCTTTGTATCGATGTGTGCGTGTACGTGTGCGTATATGTTGTATTATGGCGAATAGAAAAGCTCTAGTGTGTGTATTTATTAAATTTTTTATAATTGTTTTAACCGTTTTGTTGCAGATTGTGGAACCGCCGCTAGATCTGCTTGCCCAGCAGCGACGCGCCAATACGAAATGTGTATTCTTCTTCGGTTCGCGAAACTTGTAAGTAAATAAAGTGAAATACTATACCGAAAATCATAACTAAACGTATGTGTGTGTGTAGCGCTTGGATTGAGGAGCACAATATTAAGCCGTTTGAAGGACCGTGGAAGGATGAACTCGCTAAGGTTAGCAAGCCGGCTGCTTTTAGGCACGCCATGGCCGATATTGACAAATATGTGGAGAATCCGGCCGAGATTGATGGGCAAATCGATGAAAGCTGTGGCATGGCCAATCATGCCACCGAAGCAGACTTTGACAAGATTCGCGATGGCTTGGACAGCGATGAGAATCCCGAAACGGCAGTTGATGGCAACAATGGTGTTGTCCCTCATGTGGTTGGCAGTCCCGATGAATCAGATGCGTTGAATACTTCTGCAGCTGAAAATAATGCGAATTCGGCAACTTCTCCAGTTGCGACCACCACGCCCACAGCCAAGAGTCAAGCGAAACGCACACCCAAAGCTAAGTCCAGTGCTGCTGTCGCTGTAAGCAGCAAGCAAGCGAGCAAAGCCGCTTCGGCCAAATCAGCAGCAGCGCAAAAGCGACGCATCTCGGCACAACACACGCCCACCGGTGCAAGCACTGCTAAACGTGGACGACGCGCTGCATCTGGTGAGGCGGATCACTATGAGAGTCCAATTGCGGACTACGATGGCGCTAGTTCGTCATCGCTTGCAGCACGAGCTCGCATTGACACAGACGCCTTTTTGGGCACATTAACAAAGCGCACACCGAATGCAATTGCGCTGCTGGATCGACCGGTTGTCACACGCCCAGAGACACAGGCCATTGACATGAATTCGCGATCTAATACCCTAGCAGATCGCGATATTGTGCCGTCGGAGCAGACATTTGGTTTTCTCGGTCTGGGCATGATGGGCTCGACCATTGTCAAGGACTTGATTTATACGAAACACAAGGTTGTGGTCTGGAACCGCACCATTGATAAGGTGAGTCCCCTTTACCTGCCACTAAACGCACAAAAATAACTCTTGTCTTTTTCAGTGTCAGCCTTTTGTGGATGCTGGCGCTGAAGTTAAGGACACACCCATGGATGTGGTGGAGGCAGCAGACATCATATTTTGCTGTGTCTCAGACCCCAAGGGTGCCAAAGATGTAAGTGGCATTAATTCAGTAATTGCTCTGTTATATTTCAAACTCAACTTTAATCTTGTAGCTCGTATTTGGCAACTGTGGCGTCCTGCAGCTGAAGGATCTGCGGAATAAGGCATACGTAGAAATGTCAACCATTGATCCAGAGACCTCCATGGATATTGGAGAGGGCATTAAGCAATGTAATGGTCGATATTTGGAGGCACAAATTCATGGATCGCGACAAGAGGCCGCCGATGGCATGCTGATCATTTTGGCCGGCGGTGATCGCACAGTCTTTGAGGAGTGCCATTCCTGCTTCAAAACTATAGCCAAGAACACCTTCTTCTTGGGCAGTAAGTTGAGCATGCCAATAGAATTCCCTTAATCTCAAGCGTACACTAAAATTTGGTTAATTGTTCTTATCTAGCAGATGTTGGCAATGCCTGTAAAGTGAACCTCATTTTGCAAACAATTTTAGGCGTTAGTCTCGTCGGCCTGGCAGAGGCGTTAGCTTTGGGTACGTAGATCCGTTTTTTATATTTAAAAATATAAATATATTAATTGTGTCTTTATTTGCTTATAGCTGATCGTTTTTCTATTTCGTTAAATGATATCATAGACATTTTCGACTTAACTTCTATGAAATCGCCGTTGCTACTTGCTAAGGGCAAGGGTAAGTGTTATTACAATTATAATATGGGTTAGATTTTAATCAGATATGGTATTTATGCAGTTTGAGCTCACAAAAAACGTTATTTCGATTGTAAATTCATTATATAAAAGTCTATAGAAACTTTTTCACTTTTTAAAGAAAATTCTTGTTTGCATGGGCTTAAACTAACAGTTCATAGTTTATTTCGTATATTTTATTTAGTAAAATGAATTTTCAAAATAAAAACTTTTATTTTACAAAAATACAAGATTACTGGAAATTGGAAACAAGAAAATTAAATTTAAATTCCATGTACTCAACTTTGAGACCATATCTAATAGATGAAGAGTTCCTAAAGTTATAATAGGCACATACACACAATTTTATTAAATAACGAATAAGATGATGATGTTTCCCATACATATGATCTTAGATCAATTCCACTGTGAAAGAAAAGAGGAATCATTAAATATGTTAAATTTTATTTGTAGGTCAACAATTCACTTAGAATAATTCAATGAAATATGTTTTTTTAATCGAATTTTCTTTTCTCCTTTTTGTTGTGTTTCTTAGAAATGGCCAAGGGAGACTTCAATCCACAGCAACCGTTAAGTCATATGCAGCGAGACTTGCGCCTTGTGCTCAACATGGCTGAGAATTTGGATCAGTCAATGCCAGTGACGAGCATTACAAACGAGGTGTTTAAGCATACAAAACGCTTGGGGTACAGTGAGCACGATTCTAGTGCTGTATTCGTAAGATCCAGATTTTAACATTTAGTTAACACGACTACCATTTAAACTATACGTTATCATTTAGTTTAAACCGTACATCAACAAACAAACAAAACACATACATATAAACTGACACACACACGTCACACATACAGCACAAACAGACACACGCGTACACACACTCAGACACATATTAAGTCGTGTTGAAAGCAATAACCACACAATATGTTTAGGCAATGCTTGTTACAACAATTTGCGTCATATTTTTGTAGTTATTGTTATTGCAACACGAATTCTAATCCATTCATATCTCTACTCCCCAACTGCCTCTTAACTTTCCTTCATCCAAAACAAACAAAACAAAAAAAAAACCAACAAACAAAACGCATTCGCACACAAAACTAGAGTAACTTCTATCCAGATCAAAGTCTAAAGCAAGCAACCATGCCAATTAACATTCTGGCGAACATGCCAACCAGACCGGGTCTCTTGCCTCGTTTGGATATGCCGCCGCCAAGCATGAGGCGCGAGCGCTGGGCCAGCGTTTGAGATCAGATATGTGAGAGAAGATAAGAGAAGAGAGACAGAGTAAAAGAGAGTGTGAAGATATGATGCAAATGATGTGAATTGATGGGAGACCCATGTGAGAGACGAGATCAAACGGGCATATAAATATATATATATACATATATATTTATATATATATAAAGCCAGTTCATGAAGCAGTTGTGTGTTAGCGGACCGCTTTCATACCTCCTTGTGCGTTATAATTTCTAATAGTTCTGATGTTTTTTAACATTCATATTATAATTATTACTGTTTTTGATTAATTTCGAGCCCAATGTCAGCTGACGCCGCGGTTCGAGCAATGACTGCATGTCTTGCACCCTCACCCAGCATCCTTGAAGACCGCGCAAAACGAGCAAGTCGCATGTCCAAAGTCTGTAAATTGTTGAAAATTTAAATTTATTTCTAGCGGCTACTTCATTTTCGATGTTGTGTAAAAGTTAACTTCCAACCAAAAAGCCAATATAAATATATTTATGAATGTAGAGAGCATGCGAATAAATTGTACAAAATGAAAATATTTTGAAAAACCCCCAAAAAACTTTTAAGAATTCAATGGAAAAAACTATAAAAGAAATTGCTTGTTCGCGGCGCTGGCTGCACATTAAATGAAATTTAATTTTAACAAATACAAAAACAAAACTGGCATTATAGATAGTTTATTTGTGTCGCACATAAATCTAGTATGCATATTGTCCTATGCAAGAACTGCAATACCAACCACCATTTCGTAGTTTTCTTTGTTTGCAATCATAAACAAAAACAAACAAACAACAAAATACATAATACAACTGGAACAGAAATAAAAGAAAACAAAATTACTAAAAAAAATTAAAAAAAAAAAGAAAGAAAACAAAAAATAGTGTAAACATTTAGAGCCAAGAGAGTTTCGAGGGATCTATATTAATAATAATAAGAATATATATATACATAAATAAATAAATATATTTTACTTATTATTTAGTCTGTATTTTGTTGTAAAACAAAGAATAATAAAAAAACCTTAATTTTTAACTATAATCCCAACAACAAAATGAACCATTTTAGTAAATTATATTTTATTCATAAAATTGGGATAAGAAACTTTCGGACTATTCTATTATACAGTTGACAAAGCTCATAAACAAACAATAATAATTGTTCTTAAACTATGATAAATTTTATTATAATATTTTGGACTCTATAAGAACAATCGTAGTTACCCATTTGAATAAAACCACATTTTCAGTATGTAAGTTTCGTATTATACGTTCAGTTAGAAATTACACGGCAGCTGTGCTGACCTATTGACACAGAATAACATATTGGAAAAGTAGGAACAAATTTGATGAGTTTTATTTGGAAAATCCTTATACTATAGTTACTACATGTTCCGAACAACAGGGAATTGACTGAATTAGCCAATTGCCGCCAATAGCGGCGCATCATGGAACTGCAACGATATGCAGTGGTCTTCGTTCTGTTGCTGGCGGCACATGTAAGGAGCGGGGCGCACATTCCAATTAAATTGGGACTGTATGCCAATAAAGTGGTGTCCTATGGTGTGGAGACTCCCTTGGTGGTCACCATGTCCAAATATCCCGATTGTAAGCTAGTTTTGCGTGTTAGCTCGTCGAGTTACCTGGTGGCAAATTGGATCGTTGACTCAGAAACTGGTCTGACGGAGCCACAGTTTAAGATGTCGGATAATATTATGGGAGAGTTGAGTCGGCTCAATATTGTACCAAGCGTGCACGTGAGCTATAATGTGGGTTACTTTGCGGAGCTGAATGCAACTTTCTGGCAGCAAAGCAACGTTGAATTGACGGTGAAAGCTTGGTGCAGCTTGAAGTCTAGGAGTAATCCAGCTGACAAGTCTATTCAATTAACCATGAATATATCAACCGCTTGCATACCCAACATGGCAACGGATCCCTGCTTCAATCCATTGACCCCAATAGAGTTCAGTGTAAGGAGCAATTTTGCGATAGAAATGAGTTTTAAAACTAATTGCGGAATAAGCAACCCGCAATTAATCTGGACCGTGATGGATCTAATGGAGACAAGTGAGTGCGCTCAACTGTCGCGTTATTCGTAAACTTAATCCACCTTCCATTATAGAAAAGCTCATAGCGTTTAGTACCCAAACCCTGGAGCTCTACCTAAGTCCATACGTTTTGCGCTTTCCCACCGAGCCGGGTCTGAATAGCAATCAATATGTTATGCAAATAAGCGGAGTCTTTGAAGGGAGGAAATTCGTTGCGCGTTGCTATATAAAGGCCTTGGCGGAAGAAGTAGAAGCCATCATTAGTGGAGGCCGTCTGAAGGAGGTAGTTAGCTCCCAAGCTATCTACATGGATGCCTCCTCGAGTCGGGATTATTCCAAACGACCAGAAGAAAAACAATTTAATGAATATAATTGGATCTGTCAGACAAGTGATATTCGCAATGCAATGTGCAACGGTCGATCTTGGAATGGTAACTAGACTATTAATAGAATTGTAGCATATATCGAGGATTATCATGATATATATATTTCATCTTTCTGAACATTTGCAGAAGAGAAGTTTCGTATACCCGGCGGTTCATATGCTGTCGGAAATAATTATGAATTTACCCTGACAGTTGTTTCCGATACTAATCCAGATCAAAGAGCACATGCAACGCAACTTATTTCAATAGTGTCGCATAATACGCTGAAAGTGGCGATTAAGTGTGTATCCAATTGCGAGTCCAATCTATATGAACCGGAAAAGGAGGTGCGCCTGTCGGTCGAGTGCTATAACTGTCGAGGTCAACAGCCCAAATATAATTGGTTTTTGGAAGGATATCCGTCGGGCGGAACAAAAGATCTCAATCTGCATGTACGAACAGAAACAGCCATAGCCAATGTCAGTTTGCGGGTGCGAACAAGTGATTTTCGCACCGGCTATACCGAGCATATATTGAGGGAGCGCATTATTGGAAGGTCGCGCGGCAGATGTTACTCGAGACCAGTTATAGGCGACGAGGCCATTACACTATTTCGTGCATGCTGCTATGGCTTTCAATCTTATAATAGTCCCTTCCGTTATTATTACTATGCGCGTCAAGTGATGCTCAATGAATGCTTCGGCTGTGGATGTCCATTGATTTTGCCAGCTCATATAAATACAATATGGGTGAATATCTGTGACGCAGCTAATGTATGCACTACGGGTAAATTTCGGGTAAGAATGAAGCCGATGAGAGACATACCAGAGGACACACCAGAGGCAGTATGGAAATTTATAACAACACCGCCCTACGATTTCAACGTGTATGATGACTTGCGCTTCATGGCGGTTATGCAATCAGTAGCTAATGTAATTCGGAAACCGCTAACCTATCATACCTTTATGAAAGCTCTTGAACATTTTGAACCAGAGTCGCTATGTACGCTGGGCAGGTTAGCTAATTTTACAATGACCATGGCTGTTAATATGTCCCCAATTAATCACACTGATTTGGTGGTCTTGGTAAATGCTCTAACCATACTGAACAAAAACTTTCAAGTTGTAAAAGACGATGAATACGCGAAGTTTCTTACCAGGCGCCCTTTTGCGAATATGACGCTCGACCTTATTAAAGTCAACAATTTAATGGATCATATTAACAGTCATATATTAGGACCAACTGCATCCATTTTAGATCAGTATAAAACGGCTCTGCGCAATAATAGCCTGGATCAGGCGCTCATTGATAAACTGATCGACGAGATCAATCACTATGCACATAAGAAGATAAGATGGCGTTCGATGAATTGGCTCGTATCAATGTGGCAAACGGAGCGCCTACGTCGTTACCTGAAATTTGCTCGGTTGTTTGGCTTTGCCACGAATGATACAGGTGGCGTGGATGTAGAGAAGGTGTCCCTATATGTTAAATGTATGTTTTACAAGCCAGATCTAACGTACCTTGTCGAGACAGATGATTTAATGCACTCGGTATTCTTCTCGACACAACTACTTCATGAAATACGGGATCCTAGGACAGGTAAATTATGTATCGAAGTCACTTCAGTAATACGCAAGCTCGATTGGTGGTATCCAGTGGAGAAGCAGCCGAGCAGTGTGTTGCTCTCCGTGCGCGTTAATGGGCAATCAATGGATTACGCTAAGGAGTATAAACTATATAAGAGCCGAATTAGATTTGAGACTCGCATTGGCAAGTTAAAGCCCGTTTTGTCCACAGGTAAGTGTTGATGGAGTAGACGTAATCGCTTCTTTTATTGAAAATTAGAATTGCTATACAGAGACTGGTAAACTCGGTTCCTTTGGGAACAAAGTTTAACATAAATATGTCTAACTAGAATTTTCGCAGATATCACGGCAGATGATATTACGATGAGGACCAATCTATGGGAGAATATCCAAATCGATTTGAATATAACCGACACAATGAGTAATAAGCCGGTAAACGATGAATCCGTCATAGACACTGGCAAATATCTGAATTGCCTGCAATATGGCCAATTGGGTAGTAGATTGCAGATCCTCGCTTATCGCATGATGTTGGACGAATGGGCGATGGTTGCCGTGCGCTTTAAGTACACCACACATAGGCTACATGTGCTCCTTGTGCTTGGAAAACACCTGCCGGCTAATCTGGGTTATCGGATAGCCGAATCCAAATGTGCCGTGCCGGCATATTCACGCAACACAACGATAGTGTTGCGCAACAAATGCAAACGGACGAATCGGGCGTATCTGGTCGTACAGTTCTTTGGCGACGATCATACTGATGGTCCGATACCTGGCGGCCCGGCTAACTTTTCGTTCGTGTTTCAAATGCGAAGCTGCGACTATTGGTCGTACAGTGGGCCGTTGGACTCCCGGCGCTGGAAGCACATAAACTGTCTGCCTTCCAACGCAGATTATCCATATCAGGCTCACATGGCCTGTAGTTGCAGCATGCTGGGAACATTCACTAGCTACGTGTTCTGTTTTCCCGCCATTGCTGTTTACGTAGATATGACTAAAAATATACAATTCTCTATGGCAATTCTGATTGCCCACGTTCTGGCGTTGGCAGTTATGTTCGTAGTCCTAGTGCTTCTGTTTACGTATCGAAATCAGCGGCCCAGCAAAATGATTGCCTGTGATATGACTGGCATGGAGGGCAAGTCTGATCGGGAGGTGCATGACTTGTTGGTCTACTTGAGAACAGGTGGCCGCGTCAATTCACTGACCACGGCCACAGTGCGTCTGATATTTGAAACCAACAAGCGTGCCGAGTTGCAGTTTACGCTAATGCAGAATCCTGAGAAGCCCGAACTGACGCGCAACTCCACATATGTACTCTGGCTGCGCACGCGGGACATACGCATACCCACTCGCATTGCAGTTATCCACAACAATGAAGGACGATATCCCAGCTGGTTTTTAAACAGTATCGAAGTGGTCGACGTACAGGCGCACAAGATGCAAGTGTTTAAAGTGAATCGTTGGGTACGGCAGAAGTTTCTAATACTCAGCTCCTCGATGGTTGTCCGGGCGGGCTCGGTCGGAATGGTAGATTGTTGGCGAGATCGTTTCAGGGCCGAATTCGAACGACAGTGGATCAACTGGGGTCTCTGGCAGCCGTTGACAGGCAAGTGGCGCGGCGCCGGCGTCCACGACAGTATGACGCGTGCTCAGCGAGTTTGCATATTCTTGAATAAGTTGCTCATAACGTACACTGTTTGCGCCTGCATCGTTGCACCAGCTTCGCGGGAATCTGTATACGACGACCGTATCCGCTTCAATTATCGTCAGTTAGTGTGGATGTTAGCTATTAGCTGTGCTTTAACTAATTTATCTCAGTTTATCCTTGAGAAATTAATTTTGTTTTAATTTAAAAAAATAAAGAATTAGGCTAAAATGTTAAGATTAAAGGAAATTTTGAACAGTCTTGCATGGGGTGCTCAGGTTGATTAAATGTGGATTTTTAAAGTTATCTTCTAGTTTGCTACACTAAATATTTATTGAACAACAGAATTCAAATTTTTATCATTTTAAAAAGCCAACAAAATGCATTTAACACTGCTTTCCCAAATTTTGTAAAAAAGAAGGTATGCGGCCAAACATAGTATTTTTGCTGGTATTATTTAGTGCGTTTTATATTTACTTCATGCGATTTCACTCTTCCTCTTCACGTGCGCTAGTTCGTTGTGCGTGTGTGGCAGAAATATTAAAATACTTAGAATCAATTAACTGAAATCCTCTCAATCACGTAGTGCTTAATAAAAAATGTCGGAAAAGAAACGAGCTCGCCGCCGTAAAGATGTAAGTCAATAGCTGAGGGCAACTAAAAAAACAACGTAAATGTCACAAAAACATTTACGTCTTGCGCGATGATTCTGTATATACGAATATGTGATTTTGTATGTGTATGTATATTTGCCACAGTCCAATTGGCATGCTCATTGTGATTGTTTTCATTTCCATAGACAAAAAAATTGCCAAATAATATAACGCTGATATGAATACGATTGTCTATAATTGTATATATAAGGCGTCCATATCAGTGTATCTGAGTGGGGGGCAAGTTCAACTTTATGGAATGGAGCTGCCATGCGGCTTAGCTGTATTGGTCTGTATATGTTTGCATTTGGATGTTATGATGCAGGAATATATATGCGTGGGTGCTCTGCAGTGTATAAATGCCCCCTGCTTGCGTTCGGGTTATTCTTAATATATATAACATTGATGCTTGAATAGTCCAATGTTACATCTTTTGTATCCAGTTAATTTTCAATTTACTCAGCTTTATTTGTTCAACAATACCCCTACCTGTCACAATCGTCGTAGTCGCATAATCAAACAGCTGTCAGCGCTTGTAATGTTGACACAGGTCTGGCAACGCTGCCAATTTAAAAGCTTGGGTTGTAAACTGAACTTGTAAGTGTATTTGTAGATCAGTTTTGTTGATGACTTTTGCGCTCACACAATGGCTTGTGGCTGTGTGTGTGAAGCTTTGCAGAAGCTGGGCATGCGTTTGTTATTAACGGTGCTCATCAGATCAGGCGCTCTCTTTCTCTCTCCCTCTCTGCTCTGAGTCGTTCCCAGGTGCACCCACTTATCAGCGGCTTAGTTTGTATTCTGTTGTAGCTGCTCTTGTACTTGGCGCTGTATTGTTGTTGTCGCTCTTTCTTGGGGAAAGTTTCTACCACAAAAGTACCTACACACGTATTTGCGTATATATGTATGCATGTACATATTGATGTGTGTACAACTGATCGTGAGCTGTTTTTGTGGGTATAAGCACTTGTTTGACCAGCCAGCTGCCCGTCTACTGCTCAGATTTAATACTTTCTAGACTTGCTTAGCGAGTGCAACACGTCACGGCTCGGGAAAAGAAATACATCGATCTGCTACACTACTTATATGAATATTATTTCCTATATATATCAAATACAAGTGCATAATGAGCGATGAGGAGCGCCTTTCCCAAGGGGGCGAGGAGGAGGAACAGGAAATCTTCGATGACGGAATGGTATTTATTATACGATTGAAATATGTACACACACTTATACATGTGAACATAAATATATGTTAATGAATCTACAGTGTGACGAAATGAAGTTTTGATGGCGTGGCCCAAATGCGTTGTTTGAAAGTGAACATTAAAGTGTGCTTTTTTCTGCATTATTATTTTTACTATAAAATATCAAAAATATAATAATAATATGTGAATTGAAACTAGATTATTTACAAAGGATATTGTGCTTGGCATATATAAAAACTATATAAAAGTGGAAAAATTTGTAAATAAAAAATACAGTTCCTAGTTATATAGTCTTAATTAGACTTGTTTACCCTACTATTATTTAAGCCATTTGCATATTTTATTTTTAAACATAATTTCAATAATTTGAAGTAATAATAATATATATATATTTTTAGGAATACACCGAACCCGGACAGCAAAAGGCCGACAAGCCTTCGAAAGATGAAAAGAATGTCGCAAAATGGCTGAAAAAGAATGTGAAGACAAAGAAAACGAAATTTTTGAGTCATATAGTCGAGTACTTTACGTCGAGTAAAGCCATCGATGGGCTAATGAAGTCAAAATTCGCCGAGGGTGATAATGCACTATTTAGCACACGTGAACAGGTCGTAGAGTTTTTGGATGTTATGCTGGAGCATAAGTTTTTCCATCGCGCCAAAAAGGTGCCCGTTACACTGGAAGAGCTGCGTAGCAAGTCGGAGAAAAAGTCCGAAACGACCAAAGCCCAGGATAAGGAGAAAACTGAAACGACAGGCGGAAAGACCAATGTAAAGTCCTCATCATCATCGGATAAAAAAGACACCGATCCAGAGGTCGATGGGGATGCGGCCCAGGCTGCTACTACCGGCGATAAAAAGGAGAAAAAGAAACGCAAAATTCGTCTGGACATGCATCCAGAACAAATCTTTGTCGATGGCTCCGAGGCATATGTGTGGATCTATGATCCGATTCCTCTGCACTATTGGATCTTTGGCTTTATATTGCTTCTCGGCGCTGTTGGCATTTGCCTGTTTCCACTCTGGCCGCCGATGCTGCGCAAAGGTGTTTACTATTTGTCGATAGCGGCTGCGGGTTTCTTGGTGTTCATTTTGGCTCTAACTGTCGTGCGTCTGGTTGTGTTTACCATTGTGTGGGCTCTGACTGGCGGCAAACTGCATTTCTGGATCTTTCCGAATTTGACCGAAGATGTTGGCTTCTTTGCCTCCTTCTGGCCATTGTATGAGGTAAGTATTTCATATAACTCTGCACGAAAATAAATTAATGGCAATAATCTCATTTCGCAGAGCAATTACGTTAACGATGCATCCGCAACAGCATCCGCCTCGAAGTCTGATAAGAAATCCAAATCCAAGTCAAAGAAAAAGGAGAAAGACAGCGACGGCGAGGAGGATACGGCTGTTGATGCCGATGGCGATGGGGACGCTGACGCCGATGTCGATGCCGATGCGGATGCAGATGCAGATTTGGATGCCGCACCCCTGGAGCCCGAGAAAATTGAGCTAATTAAGGAGCATGATGCCGACATGGAGGTGCGAAAACGACGTAAAGTTGGTGCTGATGAATACGAGGACGATGACGAAGATCTGCCTGAAGGCGAGGAGAAGGAGCCACCGGCGCAAGCCAAGGACACCAAAGCTGGGTAAGCAGGCCGCTTATTGTTTTTTTAACGAACGAATCTCGTTTGCTATGGCATTTGCTCGAATTTTAACCTATCATTTAGTGGCCTTGATTTTGTTAACTCGGAATTCAAGTAATTTTCATAGTAACTTTAGCTGTTAATTGTGTAAATTTATGTTCCTTAATAAATTATAAATTCTTCGATTTCAATATACATTAAGTTTTGTTGCTCATTGTTTTTCTTTTGCGAATTATGTCATTGTTTGCATTTCATTTGATTTCGTTTTAAGCATGTCATTCATTCATGATTCATACCATAAGGTAGTGGGCCTAAAAAGCTAGAAAAGGAATGGGCTTCTTGTCGAAATATAGCTAAGTTAGATCTGAACATTTATGGTAATTGGAAAATATTGATAAGACATGGCTAGAATTTATAACCATGTTGTATTTTATAATATATATATAATATTTCTGGTAACAGAAAAATAAAAAGACATGGTTGACACTGCGTTAGCTTATTGTATAAATTCATATATTTTATTTTTATTTAATAAATTCTGATTAACTGGAGACTTAGTCGTATTCATTCGCATGCTGAGACCTCTACTTTCTCACAGGTTTAAGAGAAGTTAGAAACAAATCAAGAACGTACCAAAAAATTTCGGCAATTTTCTTTTACCTGTTAAAGATATTTATTTTGCCAATGTAAATGAATAACAGTATATATTACAGATTACTACAAGCCATTATGTATAGAAATTTTGAGGTCACTGCCAAATATCCCATTGTGTATTCGAAAGGCTAATTGCATTTTGGCCAATCTGTAAATACGTACATGTCTAACTATATCGATGTTCCATTTAGAGCATTTTGCAATTGGGTTAAACGTTTCTTATGGATATCAAGTCCAAGCAATTCCCTGTATCATATCAATTCCATTTGCCATTGAAACTCATTCAAGCAGCTCTGTTGCAGTTTGTTCTGATTCAGATTGAATTTGAGCTTCTACCTAAAGTGTGGATATTAAGTTTCAAGATTAACCCATTAACTGAGTAAGTTTTATGAGTTTTAATTTATCACACAAAACTCACACTCCCACACAAACACACATATACACATACCACATACCACATACAACAAACACACACGCACACACACGCACACACACGTTTTTTGGCTTTTGTATTAAATTTCTATTGTTCACTTATATGATTTGTTTCGAATCGCTAACGCTGATAGCCGCTGTCTATTGATAATTTCACTAATGACACGTCCCTCTCTTGCAGCACGCCGCGAAACTCGGAATCGGATTCAGAGAGCTCAAGCAAAGATTACGAAATAATTAGTTCAAGTGAAGTGCAAAACGTTGCGGGCAACTAAGCGAAAACAAACTGTGGCAGCAGCAGTAAAACGAAACTCGGACAGAATCTATGCTTTACTGTATTTAAATCAACCACATCCAATTCTAGCTAATTGATAAGGCAATTCAAACGACAATTCACGTTGATTCCAAGCAGATTCAAACATATGTCGGGCTTTTCCAGGCATTAAGCAAGCAGTCCATAAATAGAAATTCAAATTGTTTTCTTTGTAGTAAAAATATATATATAATTTAGTTCTTGATATTGTGCCTAATGAATTCCTACCATAGACAGAAATATGGCCCAAAGCATTTCGATTTTGCTACTCTCTTTAATCTTATTTACGGCATGAGCTCTCAAATTGTTTTCTTAAGCTGAAATATTATAATTGATTTCATAAAACAAAATGCGTGCAGCTCAATGTTCAGTTTATCTTTAATTGTTTTTTAATTGAGTGCAAGCAACAATTGCAATTGATAATAACGTTTACGATGTGCATGATTATGATTATACATACAAACATACATAAATATATACAAATAAACTTATATATAAATATATACACATACAATATATATATATATACATATATATGTATATATATTTAGTGTATGTTCATTTACTTTAAATGTAATTAAAGCATTGAAATTAGTAGTGTAAACATTTAATTAATTATTAAAATAAAGCTAGGCAATTCTGATGTGAGAAATCTTGAAAAACCAAATACTCGTTTCAATTACAAAATAAAAACGCATTTAATAATTAGAAAATTTATACAAAATATAAATGTACAAATATAGTTTATAGCTCGTCCTTAAATTGACGCTCGATATGATATTGATCCAGCCAGTGATTCAGCCAGTACCAGACAAAGCCTGGACTGAGCACGCCAAATATTACTGTTACGCCCGCTAGCTACGAAAGCGAGTGGAATAATTTATTATATATAAGATACATTAGTTTAATTTGTTAACACACTCACCACGATCAGGCCATATGCTAAGCAATATGTGAACCAAAAAACGATGCTGGCACAGACACTCAAGTAGTTGGCTGCACCAATTTGACGTTGCATAGGTTCAGGGAAGCTTTTAGGGAGTTTCTTTGGGCTATGTGCATCGTACATTTTCTGAATTTTATATATGAAAATATTTTATCTGAACAATATATCACGTTATATCAGCACAAGACAGACGCGGCTTCACACTTATTTTGTAGAGTTCGTGGTTTGCCTATAACTGAAAAACAATATATATATTTATATTCAAAAGTAATATAAGTTATATGTTCTATAAGTTATTTACATAAGTCAAACAGTTTGCATAGTTCTTAAGTCCGTTAAAAAGAACGCGTTCTAAGCTTTTTGTTAATTCACACCTAAAATTTCTGTTTCTAAGTATCTGAATCTATATTTAAATTTTTTTTTCTAAATTTCTCCTTTATTGAGATTGTATTTCTGCTGTATCATTCACTGTTAGCAGCTTTATAGGCTTCGTCATCATTTCATTGATTTTTTGATGCACCACTTCGTCTACTATCCACGTATCACGATATGCTCCTCTGCGTTGCTTTGGATGTTGCTGCTCTTTGGATTCGGAGTCGTTTATAGAATTTTGATTTTCATATTTATCAATCGAATCATTAATTTTCAGCTGCACGGCTTCGAAGTAGATGCTGCGTTTTCTGTGCTTGAACGGATGGGCTGGCCACACGGGCGAGTTATATTTTTTCTTATGTTCGAAAACTTTGCTTGCTACTGAGGAGCCAGCAGTTGGGGAAGAGGTTGCCGTGTAGGCGACAGGCGTAAAAAGCGCTTCCACGTCCTTTGCACTACTTTTCCTTTCGGCCAGCTCGAATGATTGAATATCTGGAGTTCGGAACTCGTAGATGCCCACGGCAGGAGTCTTGACAGTGGTGGGACTTAGAGTATACTGTTCCATTTGAGCCGTGCGCGGCGTGCTGGTTGCCAACATTTTGGGCTTGATTATCTCACTGCTGGCATATTGAATCGTCGCCATGGTCTTTACGACATGATATAGCCTTGGCTGTCTCCGACTCGCGTTTTCCTGCAGTTTATGCAACAGTTTTCGCAGCATTTGGTTTCTGGTCTCAGGTGTCTGGGGCAGGTTTGCGGGCGTTGAAATGCCATAACACGATTCGTAGAGTGTGGAACCAGTTACTGTGGAGTGTGTGGGCGTTGGAAATGGAGCTGGATCATTTGTTAAATGCGTCTTATGAGCAGATTCAACAGCGATTTCCATGTTGAGCTCCTCTTCCTCAACTGTTTGCCTATCCATAATAATACTTGGCTCAAGTTCTTGGGCAGAAACTTGATTGGGCTCAACATTTGGTTCAATCTGAGAACTGGAGTCTGTTGTTGAAAGTTGCCCACAGCCAGGCTTATGCCCGCCATTGCAACTGTTTGGCTTGCGCTGTCTGCTCTCATTCATCAATTTCTTTTTATTTCTGCGATTCAAGCCACATTTCTGACAGCTCTGATTGCTGCGAGTCAGTTCTTTGGAGGTCTGTTCGGAGTTGATGGCTCCATAGTGAAGTTTTCTGACATCGTTCAGTGGCTTCGATTCCTCATGCTCATTGCATCGTTCGATAGCAAAGAAACCACCGAGCATGGACCACATTGAGTTGCGGCCGTTTGAGCTGGTGTGCCCCGCCTTCTTTGGCGCTAAACCCCCCCGTTCGACCTTAGCTCTGCGATTGTCAGTTGAGTAAGCTTGGTTCGGATACTTTTCATCACCTGCTGATTTATTTGTAGAATTTAAAGGCAATTCGTTTGACATGTCATTTGGTTGGTGTAATTCGGTTGTTGTCATGGGAAGATCTAAAAGCTTGAACTCTTCATCATCATCGTTCTTTAAGATTTCTGAACGTGTCTCGTCGCTGTCGTTGGTCTCGGTGATCTGTAAGCTTTTCATGAACTGCAGCAGACCCTTGAAGGACTCCTTGTGACTATTCTCGATATGTTCCTCCTGCTTGTCGATAAGGGACATGTGGTGCAAGGCGTCGTCCGTCAGGGGAGTCGTTGGCCCAGGCTCTGCAGGTGGTTTCTGTTCCATTAGCCACAGGATTTTCTCAATAATTGAAATGGGCAGCATTTCGGGCTCGGCGGCCGGCTTCTCCTCAGCGTGGGGCGGCTCCTCTCCGCCGCGACTGCGTACCGACTGCTGATGCACGGGCAGTGTGGAGCTGACGCTCTTATGGCTGCTGCTGCTCGTGCTGCTGCTGGACGCGCTGCTATCGGACAGACCTGAGTGGGCCACCGCCTTCATCATCTCGTGCAGTCGCAGAGGAGCGCCAACGCTGTAGTTGTGGCGTTGTCGCTCCGCCGGCGGCGCCGTGGGCACGTCAAAGGGCGACGATGAGGAGCAGTCGCTGCTTGGCTCCGATTCGAAGCTAGGCAGCCGCGTCGGCGGCAAATCGACGCGCTGCTTGATATGCAACGCCTTGGGCTGGCGCAGCATGAGCCGTGCGCTATCCACAACCAGTGCATCCTCCGAGGGTCCCTCGTATATTTCGAACGGCGAGAATTGTGTGGCGACATTGCTGCCATTGGGCTTCTCCTCCTTGGGCGCCAGGCCGCCACCCTTAGCACGCACCTTCTGCTTGGCCAATATTTCGGACAGGACTTGCGATAGTGGCGGCAGTGGGCGGCTGCAATGCGAGCGCAGAGGACGTCCAAAGATTCTGCGTCGCTTGGATATGGCGCCGCCGGCCGCATCCGTAATCGGCTTGTCCAGCGGTATAAAATCGCTGACAAAGAGATTATCATAAAAGCTGGGCTGACGCTTGCGCAGATGCAAGGGCCGATTGAATACCTCGTGCGCAAATGCCACCAGATTGGGCATATCCTCAGTGGGCTGCTCCCACAGCGACTCAGTGGCCTTGGCGGGACAAGCCGGCGGCGATGGTGGTGGCGATGGTGGCGGCGGCGGTGCCGTTAGCTCGGGATCAGCTTCGACCTGCTTTACCTCGACTGCAACATCCTCGCTCCTACGCTGCTTAGGCTGCAAACGCTGCGGCTTGCGAAAATGGCCAAAGCGTCCCATGTATAATTTATTGTTTTTGTTGCTGTTGTTGCATCTGGACTTCACCTGCGGCTGCTGTTGCTGCTGCTGTGGTGGAGACGGTGGTACACCCTCTTGACCCACTGGCGGCTTTGGCTCTCCGCCACATTTCAAGCAATGTGCCTTGCGCCTGGGCTGCGGCTTCTTGGCGCTCATGGCCACCTTGACACGCACTGCGCCCTGGCGCGCCTCTTCGTTGCGCCGGCGCTCCGCCAGCATTTGCTGCCGCATCGCCGCCTTCTCCTCCTCATCGCTGGACGAGCTGATGCAGGCGCGTGGACGTCGACGCCTGCCGCACACCTCGCACCAAAGCTCCGGAGTCGGAGCTATGTGCAGAATGGAGCGCGGCAATTTCTCACAGAGACACCAGGTGGGCGACGTTCCGTAGCTGGCCATTTTCTTCAGATACAGCGAGTACAGCTCGTACAAACGAAACATTAACAATATTTCAACTTGATGAGCGTCTAATGCGACAAAATTTCGTTTAATTTTTCTATTTTGTGCGCCGTGGAAACGCCAGAGCTCGACTAACTATTTGCCGAACCCAGAAACAACCAACGACCTGCTCTTGGCAGGTTTCTCAACTGCTGCTTCGTTTTTGATCGGAGCAAAACTTTCTTTTCTCAAATATTTCAATTCTCAGATTTCGTTTCAGTGTTGTAAGCTGCAAGAAAAAGTGCTGCCAATTAGCCAGCAGAAATTACATAACGTCTGAACAGAACGCGAAGAACTATGCACTATCTGTAAAGAATCAGCTAACTGAACTTGGCTCGAAGGCCTAGTTGCAATAGTATATCTAGAGCATTGTAATTCAAATTGAGAAATTTAAAATTTAATATAAATAATTCGAAAAAGCTGTTAATCTGTTAATATGATTGAAATTTATGTTTAATATATATGATTATAGGCATTCTCAAGGACTATTAAATTTAAATTAGAAAATTTAACATTATATTGAAATATCTACAATTAGATATAAGTTTATGTAGAGCTCAGCAATAAAATTAAAAATATGAAAGCAATGCACGTTTTTTAATTCAACTTTAAAGAGCTGTTTGATTTGAAGGGCTAAATGGGTTTTGTGACATGAATTATATATTTTCTTTTTCAGAATTGTTGTCAAATGGACAAGGAGCTTAAAGTCTTACAAGACAAATCTGACATACATAAAATTAATATTGAACTTGATATAAAACTTCAGATATGTACGTCATATTTATTTTTATATCTTGACTTCTAAAATGATGTAATAAACAGTAAGCTAGCTTTCCACATTATGAATACCTTCTGATTCCTCGGCAACAAATGTAGCACTGCGCGGCAGGCAGGATATATTCTAGCTGGGTACTACTCAGTATATATATATATATATATATATATATATATATATATATAATTGGAAGTGTGCAAGCACAAATAAATAAATTTAATCATAAATTAAATGTATATATATAAATATAATATAGATAAACAATTCAAACATATATTTTGAAGCACTAACCGGTTAGTCAAAGCACATTTTTATTGACACTGATTCTATAACATAAAGTGAGCACCGAAAGTCTATTCACGTTTTTGTTTTCAAATCGCATTGCATGTCATCCTAAGTGGTTTTTCATGTTTCAAAAGAAATTATATAAATTCGTGGAGCCGACGCCAAAAGTGCTCCTTTAGGCAGGATAGACCGCTCTTATAATATACCCTGCAAAGCGAAATTATTTGATTATATTGTTATATTGTTTTATTTGAATTGATTTGATAGCCTGATTAATGTTGAATATATATGAATATATATTTTTAGCCCTAGGCCAGTTGAATGTGCTTCTAAATGTAAAGGGTTGAATATTAGGAGTATAATAATTTTTTAGCAGTATCAAATTATTTGTATAACATTCTAGATTCCCTGTTCCTTTTAGCAGTGTTATTAACGGCACTAAAACACAAACATAGTTAGTTGTATTAGGATTCTAATAGAGACCAGGTATTTTAGTCCATCTTACTATGTTGCCTTATCTTTCATATCTTTTGCGCTGTGAACATATCGATTTAGTTTAACATTCTAATAAACAATATTTCATTACATCTTTAATATTATAAGAAATTTTAATCAAATCAAAGGACAAGCTAAATCCGAAATGTTTCCAGCATACTTTTATCAATTTGGATTCTTTTGACAGCTGAAATAGAGACGCTATGGCATGCAGAGAAATTTTTGTATAAATAGAAAGTTGTATTAGGCGAAAATACTATTCCAAAACACATATATTAAAACTATAAAACATACTTTTTATATCGTCTTTTGAGCTTTGCACATCTATCACCTTTCAAATTTAATAATCAGCTCGCTTCAGCCTTTCGTTGCACTGCGAATAGTTCACTTATTTTAAAGAAATGTTTTATGATAATATAAATACAATCATATTGCCAGATTCGATTTGTATCCATTTTATGGGTTTACAGCCATCAGCTAATATCACTTTAAATCTGAAATGCGGTTTGTCTGCCCGCTGTAGAGTCAAAGAACGCATTAAAAGCGCATTGGCCGCAGACATTCGAGCGAAATGTTGTTCAGCATTTCCGGCTCATTGGACAGCAAAAGGCGTTGCATACTTTGGGGCGCGCTGCAAGTACATTGTACAGACTATACAAAAATCAAGCTCGCCTATAAATTATTAAACTATCCGTTATGGAAGCACGAGGCACGTTTTGAATTACAGGCCAGTTGTGCCAGATTTATGTGAGCTATTCCCCATAAAAATACTTGACTATGAGATGCGTATATATATATTTATATATATGTATGTATATGTGTATATGCCTATATACATGGTATATTGGTGCATCATATTGTTGTCTAATTGTACGCTGCATTCAATTGGGGTACCATAAAAAGAGAGCTGCATATATATTCTGAATTGGATCCACAATTGTTGGTGGCTATAGAAATAGCTTGGTTGCTCTTGTTTGGCATTTTAATGCATTTTTATTGCATTACTTTTGGCGTTTCTTTATTTTTGGTATTTTTACTTTGCCATGGAATTTCCGTATGTTTCCTTTACTGTTAATATATATATATATTTTGTATATTTATTTTTATGCTCCCTCAGAAACAGAAAAGAGTATATTGGTTGTGCTGCCATCTGGCCATATTGCTGTTGCGGCTAGAGACCTGAAATTTGAACTTTATAATCTACCTTCCTATTAATATATATAGTATATGAGCTAAAACAATACAATTTTGATATCACTTACAGATCAACCAAATAACTGTTAGAGGGCTTGATAGTGCTTGGTATAAGTTCTATTAACGAAGAGCCCAATAAAAGATTTACTTGTCTATGTCTATTCTGGCTACAGATATATGAACGTGTATTGTGCAGTCGTACACGGCCGACTATAAAGCTCTTATTTGCTTTGCTGCTGTTGATTTTTGCTTTACTCGGTTGGCGTGGCTTTTAGTTGGCGTTTATTGCATTTGGCCAGCATTTAAAACGCGAATGGGTTGCCGTAATTCAATGTGTGCCAACTATTTTGAGGGCGCGTGCCATACACACAGAATGGGCGTGGTCAGTAGTCTGGTCATGAATTTTTACTGGCAATTCGAAAAGAATGTGAAAGATAGAGAGAGGCAGACAGAGGCTTATGAAAGCTTTTAATTAAGTGTTTAAAATTGTTTAATTGATAATAAATTAAAATTAAAATTAAAATTAAAATTAAAATTAAAATTAAATTAAAATTAAAATTAAAATTAAAATTAAAATTAAAACTAAAATTAAAATTAAATTAAAATTAAAATTAAATAAAATTAAAATTAAAATTAAAATTAAAATTAAAATTAAAATTAAAATTAAAATTAATAATTGAATGAATTAAATTAAAATTAAAATTAAAATTAAAATTAAAATTAAAATTAAATAAAATTAAAATTAAAATTAAAAATTAAAATTAAAATTAAAATTAAAATTAAAATTAAAATTAAAATTAAAATTAAAATTAAAATTAAAATTAAAATTAAAATTAAAATTAAAATTAAAATTAAAATTAAAATTAAAATTAAAATTAAAATTAAAATTAAAATTAAAATTAAAATTAAAATTAAAAAAAATTAAAATTAAAATTAAATTAAAATTAAAATTAAAATTAAAATTAAAATTAAATTAAAATTAAAATTAAAATTAAAATTAAAATTAAAATTAAAATTAAAATTAAAATTAAAATTAAAATTAAAATTAAAATTAAAATTAAAATTAAAATTAAAATTAAAATTAAAATTAAAATTAAAATTAAAATTAAAATTAAAATTAAAATTAAAATTAAAATTAAAATTAAAATTAAAATTAAAATTAAAATTAAAATGAAAATGAAAATGAAAATGAAAATGAAAATGAAAATGAAAATGAAAATGAAAATGAAAATGAAAATGAAAATGAAAATGAAAATGAAAATGAAAATGAAAATGAAATGAAAATGAAAATGAAATGAAAATGAAAATGAAAATGAAAATTAAAATGAAAATGAAATTGAAAATGAAAATTAAAATTAAAATTAAAATAAAAATAAAAATTCAAATTCAACCATTCAGTCTTTCAGTAATTTAGTCAATAATAAGTAATCAGTTGACAAGTTCGTCAGTCAGTCAATCAGTCGATATAAGACATATATAGTTTGTATTTTAAGTTACTACCAAGGTCTGAGCGTGGTCTAGCACTTTTTTCTGCCTGGTTGGTTGCCTGGGAGCAGCATGAAATTTAAAAGTCAGCTTTTGCTGAGTGCAGCTACGTGACTGTTGCGTGTCTGAGTATCCGTGTCTGTGTTTTCGTCTGTGGCTGTGTCTGTGTCTATGTCTGTGTCGATGTCTGTGGCATGTGGCACATGCATCAGAGAGCACACATATGTGCAACGCACCAGCTGTTTACTTATTTAACACAATTTGTACATTTCATAACTCAAGACGGGGCCAGCTATGTTGCACACGTGGCAAGTGGATGCAAGCGGCGCGCGTATAGCTGCCACGCATGCGTAACTGCCACGCCTTTCTGCTAGGTTTTTGGGGCGTTTTCTTATTTAATGGAATTTTAAATGCAACTATCCCGTTTCGGGCGCTGTGCATTGTGCGGCTTCCTCTACGGCTGTCGTTGCAAGTTTGTTGCCATAAGTGGAAAGTGTTGTCAGGCATCTTGAAAAGGTGCTGCAGCCAGAATGAGGAGCATCAGCGGCACTGACCCAAGTCTCTAAGCGTTGTGACAACCTTGAAAAGCACTCAACAAATAATACTACCGAAATTTCATACTTCCAAACACAGAGACATACATAGTCACACTCACACACACGCCCACACACGCCCACACACATTGGCTAAACAAAGAAGTATTCACCCAAGTCTTTCGTCCATAATTATGAAACACTCTCGTGTTGATGTTGTTGGGAAAAGCTCACGTATTCGTTGCTTCGACAATTCACAGTTCAAAATGCTTTATCCGAGTTTTCCTTTTAGGCAAAAAGTCAGTTTTAACTTTCAGGGTGACCATAACAAGAGAGTGTGAAAAATGTGTAAAGGACAGGAAGCCAAGTTAGAGCTGAGTTCTGT